CTAGGTTTGGCCCACAGGCATGATTTAATCTGACCATGGCTAATCTCTGTCTCCTAGTCCACATTCTCCACTGGCTCACTGGCTTTAGCCACATCCTTCTGCTTGACAAGGATGTTCTATCCTCAAGCTTTTTGCACTTGCTATTCCCTTTGTCTGCAGAATTCCCTTCAGCAAACCCATATGTGATCCTACAACGTTATCTTTTTCTGTCAGTGTATATCCAGTAAACTGTTGTATTTTCCTTTACATTAATTGCTACCCGAGATGATATTTTATTTAATGTTTGTCACCTCAGATTTTAACCTTTACTGAAACAGTGGTTTTTATTTGCTTTATTGCTATGTGTATAGCCCCTAGGACAGCTACTGAACACTTATGCCTTCAGTAAATATTTATTAATGAGGAAATGAGCCCTCTTTAACTTTCTAATAATATTGTATACAATTGTAAGATTCTTTAGAAATTATCTTATTCATCATATATATACTAGATGATCCATAACTATTTTAGAATCAATTTTAAAGGCAATAAATACTAGGTTGGCTCATATACTTTACTTTTTCTAACACTGGATGCATTTGCAGATAATAGGTGTTCAACTGATGTTTGATGACCTTCAAATGCAAATTATTTTAGATCTGCAAGTAATATAGGTTAACACATGGCTAATTTAGTATTGTTTTCTGTATGAAGAAATTAACTAGCTGTAATAACAACAGAACTTTGGTGATTGTTTTTAAAATGGGCAAAAAAGTGCAATTTATATGTAGGGGCCAAAGGCAGTCCACTCCAAATGTGCCACTTTGTTATACTGATTATTTTAAATAAAAGTTACTTGAGAAACGGCCAATGCAAAAAGAACTCTCTGGCCTGCTGAAAGATAACCTCTTATACCTTATCACCAGTGAGGAAATTTAGAGCCCTGAAGGCTGCATAAACAACACTTGTTACTTTTCACTAATATACTATCCCAGCCCAAATTCTGTTTAGAATAATTTACCAAAGTCCCAAAGTTTTCTTTGTTTTGTCAACTCCTCACAGATGTATTGTCTCTTTGTCTGAAAAGTATAAAAACTGCCTGCTTTGGTCATTTCTTTAAGTCTCAACTTCATTATTGGGTCTCTGTGTGCACATGCCTTGTCTCTTTCCCTGTAGTCTGTCTTGTGTCAGCTTCATTCTTAAACCAGCAGGAAGACCACAAAGGGTAGAAGGAAAACGTTTTTCTCCTCTTTCTATATAGTCAATAATAATCCAATATTACTGCTTTTGTAATAGATGTTTTAAGACAATGTTTTAAAAAAAATGTATTCCTAAAGGCTTAGAGAACTATATTCAGAAATACTGAAGCAATTTAGGTGTACTAAGCTTAAGTGCCAGAAACAGACAAGAAAATGTCCTCATGTTATTTGCCTGAATAGTTATCTGTGGAATGGGCAAGGTAGGTTGCGCACTAGAATTGTTTCAGTTCTTTAAAAACATTTTAAAAGTTGAAGTTGAGTTTCTTGTTTCATTTTTACTTTATTTTTCCAGTTTAATATTGTTTTTCTTTCTGTGTGGGGAGAATGGGTCGATGAATTTTATATAGGGAAGAAATAGGAGTGATTACCTTATACTCACTGTAAATGTATTTGTGTTTTTACTCCAAAACTGACTCCAACCTGCAAATTTAGATATATACATTTTGAGGGGAGCTAACTTTGAAAAGACACTCTAGATTAGAAAAACAACTAGATTTTGTGGTTGGAGAACTGCATTAGGTGTCAGAGGGTCTTGGTTCTCCTTTGAGTATTACAGTTGGCTGTGCAATTCAGGAAGGGTACAGGCATATTACGGTGGAGTGGAACCCAAGAAATATCTCAAACCAGACCATTCCTTTCATTGATTTGGAGTTGATGACCAAAGACATTGCATGGAGAGCAAGGAATAAAATGGAAATTTCCTGATTACTGGGCTTACTTCCTTTCCGTTGTACTGGTATCTTAATTTTTTTCCTCTATACATCTATATATCTATGTATCTATATTTATATGTCTCTCTATAATATTGTAAAGTAGTCTTGTCTTTTTAAATAATCGCAGGTTCCTTGAGAATCAACATTACAGCACAATTCTTCCCCTCATAACATCTCTCTGGAATCTGAACTCTTGCTAGATGCTCTATAAAATATGTTAAATAGAACACAGTTAAATGAAGTATTATACAACAGCTGTCTGGATCCGGGCCAGGTTTTGGCTCTCTCTCTGAGCAGAAGCCCAGATGAATGAGTCCTCTTCCAAATCCCCGCCGGGATTTAGAGGCGCCCCAGAACTAGTCCCGGGTTAAGGCTCAGAGGCCGCTGCAAGGATTTCAGCACAGCCCTGCGGTGAGTACACCTGCATGGTAGCCCTCCGGGTGCGGGCCCGTTTGGCCGAGGAACGACCCTACAGAGCATGGGGCAGGAGGTGGTGTGGAAGGAACGAGAGATTTGGGCCAACAATCTTCTCTTCCCTGGAAGTGGGAGAGAGTTTGGCGGCCCAGCGTAGGGACGCCTGTTCCTAGGCAACCTGCAGCAGCCGGCCTTGGCTTTCTGGAGTCTACCCGGAACTGTGTCTTTCCAGCTTGTCCTGTCTGGAGCTGTCTCAGGAGTTTCTCGGTAGAATTGCCCCAGTTGGTACCCTTTTCATCCTTGCCACTGTGGAACTGCTCTTTACCCAGCTTATTGGGTCGAGTCAGGTTGGCTATCCCGTATGCCCCACCCCAGTCCACGAATCTAAGATAGGAAGAGGGCGGAGCATCACTTGTGCTTTGCAGGTGCCTTGATGTATAATCTTAACTTCGTGGGGAGTGATGTACAGACGATTACTATGAGATTAAGAATGATATCATGTTCATTCGGATACTTGGGTCTGGGATGACCCGGGGCCCAAGATAAACTTGGTCCTCACCTGCATGGGGGTTAAATACTAAATCTTTTCCCTCTCCTTGATTATGGATCAGTTTATTCTTCGCTTTCCTTTATGTTCTGATTTGGTATAAGCATATTATAGCCGCTAATATCACTAACCAAGAGAGAAGTGGTGATGATTGCATTCGGAAGTAATCATCCTTAAAAAATGAGGGAAGTGGGAGATGAGTTCATTTCTTTTTGGTAGCATCAAAGATAATATGGTAAGATTTGGATCTGTTTGTCAACAATATTCATTACACGCTAACTGTAAAATCTCACCACTTGGCACCAGTTTGGGTGGAGACAGCCATTCAGAAGCGCTTTTCCCTGCTGCTACCACCTTCATTCCCAGTATACCCCAACTGGATATTCTGTGCTATAGGACAAGGACAGACTTTGGTCTGCCTTCCAAAGATCCGCTCACATGCTCTTTATTTGAAATTCTGATTCTTTTGCCACTATGTTTGGGTTTCTGGTGTTCTTGAGTCTCTGCAGCTAATTCTTCTCTTATGATCTGTGCGAGCAAGGGTATAGTATTAGAAAGAGGTCTGAAACTGGTGTAAATTCATGCTAAGTAATAACTGGTAAATAATTTGGGAAAGTAAATGTCCCCATTTTGGGGTCTCAGATTCCTTAGTTTGAAAGTCAGAAGTTTGAGCTGTTTTTATCTCTGCAGTCGTGGGCTAATTCTTTGACATAAGGTGTCAGTAGCCTCACAGCTCTAATTCTATAGATCCTGGAGTGTTCCACATGTGACAGTTGCCTTTTGAATACTCCTGTTATATTGGAGTGAACCATTTGTATGCTACATAGTTCTGAAATAACTCATATCTGAGTTGACTGAATTTACTTACTTAACAAAGATTTATTAAGTTCCTACTGTTTTCTAGGCTTTCTGTTAAGTGCTGAGATACAAGGTGAGCAAAACCATAGTCCTTGCCTTTATGAGGCTTACAGTATAGTATGAAGGGTAATAGCTGCCAGTCATGCTATGAATGCCTTATCTATTGTTTGAGGACAGAATTTATATGTGGCTGTCGTCCTTTCATATTTAGGTTCAGAGGAAGGAAACGAAGAATATGTTTAAAATGTGTACAGGTATTTGACTATGCATTAATTTCTTTATTGGCTAAAATATTTATTAAGTATCTACTATATTAAGGACATGAGATACCAACCTTTGTGGACTTGATAGTTTATTAGGGACATGAAAAGAGTTAATTACAAGTGAAAAGTAATGACTGTCAAGCTTGGGGAAGTTCAGGGACTAGGGGATCCTGGAAAGAGGATTTAAATTTTGCTGTTTTTGTTATTTGCAAATGAATCATGGCTATATAAAGTAACCTATAGTGATTTGAAATGGCTATTGTACTTTCTAAGGTGTAAATAATTGTGTGGTTGATGTGTGGAGGAAAGCACTTAGCTGATTGCTCAGTATCCCTATTTCTACTTGGGTTTGTTGGCTGCTAACCATCATGGCAAATACAACAGCTTTTGTGATGTGATTAAAACAAACAACAACTCTCTCTCCACCCAACCAAAGCAATAACAACTTCAAAAAGTTGCTTCTTTGTGAAAGATAACTCAGAAAAAAAGTCAAATTATTTTTAAATCCAGTAATTTGTGATGTTTCCAGAATATATCTACTGTTGGTTGGTAAGTCTTCCTGACATTACTCTTGGAGTAGAAATCTAATCTTGGGGTATGAGGTTTAGGGGAGGGGGCTATGGAAATGGGGTAGAGGGAGCCATACAGATAAATTAGTGAAGAACTGGGATACCTTTCAGGATTTCATTGGGCCTGCAGTAAAACTACATTTTAATAGTAACAGTGATGGCTACCATGTATTGAATAATCATGTTCTACTTAAAACAGGAAGAAGAGAAAGGTGTTAACATTAAACTCATTTTACATATTAGAAATATTGGCTCTGAAAGATTAAGTTTTTACCCAAGCTTACATTACAGGGAAGTGTCAAAAATGAGGATTTTAATGTCAGTCTATCTAACTCTATGCTGACACTATGCCATGCTATCTTTCCTTAAAAATTAAGAAAAAAAGTTTACTATTAAAATAAATCCAAGTCTAATAATAGAAAAAGAAAGTATGAATTGTTAAACAACAAATCCTCAGTAATATAAGGTTGAAGTGTAAAATAAAATCTTCAAAATTTGTATCACTGAGATATTCATCTGATTTTTGTCTTGTACATTTTTGTTCAAGTTGATTATTTTCAGCATTCTTTTACATGCATTTTTACTAGTTACCTCATCATTTCTAATTGGACCATCCACTCTATTTTATTCTTTGTATCAGAGAATACTGCTTGCATAACACATTTTTTCATTTGCTTACTCCAGCAAAATCAAAACTCACAAAAGTTTAAGAAAAGAGTAAGGAAAATAAGTTTACATCACTTTGTGGTAGGGAAGTACAGACATTTGTTTCCTATTACTGCTGTAAAAAATCACTACAAACACAGTGGTCTGAAACAACATAAACTCATTATTTTACAGTTCTGGAGGCCAGAAGCACAAATGACAGGGCTACAAATCAGGGGCTTAAATCAAGATGTCAGCAAGGCTGGTTCCTTCAGGAGGCTCCAGGGGAAAATTCATCCTTGCCTCTTCTAACTTGCAGAGAATGCTCATGACTTCTTCCTTTGTTTTCAAAGCCAGCTTTCTAGTATCTTCATTCCTCTCTGACCTGTGTTTTCCTTCTTCCATCTTCTCTTTCTTACTCTGATCGTCTTGCTCCTCCTTGTCTAAGGACCCTGGTAATTACACTGGGCCTTCTAGATAATCCAGGATAATTTCCACACCTCAAAATCCTTTACGTAAATCACATCTGAAGAGTCCTCTTTGTCATGTAATGTAAACATATTCACAGGGTCCAGTGATTAGGACATGGACATCTTCAGAGAAACCTATTCAGACTAGCATTTGCCTCTTAAGTGTTGCCCAACATAATGTAATTGCGCCACAAAAAGTTGATTTTGGTGAAAGAAGCAACAATGATTAACCACATGATTTCTTTCCATAAAGTAGTGTTACGTAGTTTGTATGACTTATTTAAAATTAGAGTAAGAGTTATCATTTTGTATGTTTTTTACCTTTTTCCAAGTATACTGCAGACGTGAACTTGAATGGATTTAGAGGTTAAAGGAATTGCTGCTTCTCTTACAAATCCAACTCAGCCGTTCTCTGGAAGAAAGAAGCTGCTGCAAGTACGTGTGCTATATAATTTTCCTCTCATAGGATGATTAATTAAATAATTTTCTGACTCTTTTCTTCATGTTTTTATGACAACTTATACTCACAAATATTTAGGATCCATATTTTCTGGATTTGAAGAATTGAGTGGCCAAAACTGAAGATAATCATTATTTGAAAGTGGGTCATTACTTGAATTAGTTTTATTTTAAATAATCAAGCATATTATTATTGTTTTCATATTCTTATTTAAAAAATTATCTATGTATATCTGCAGAAAATAAAAGAAATGAAGATAGTAGAAAGAAGAGAATATTAGTATACATTTTGTATTAGCTAGGTAGAAAGAGAATCAGAGCTTCTATTATTAAGACTTTTTTTCTTCATAACCTTCATAATATTACCACTGTGTGTGTATATATCATTGATTAAGTGCAGAGTTATAGCTGCTTTGTCCCTGTTCCCACCACAGAATTGAGTATATACAAATTTTCGTTTAGAAATACATAAAAGTGATAGGTATTTCCTTGCCATTTAAAAAAATATATATATATTATTTACTTATTAGAAGGAGAGGGAGAGAGGGTATGAGCAGAGGTGAGGAGCAGCAGAAGAGAGAGAAGCAGATGCTCCACTGAGCAGGGAGCCTGATGTGGGGCTCGATCCCAGGACCCTGAGATCATGACCTGAGCAGCAGGTAGACACTTAGCTGTTTGAGCCACCCAGGTGCCCCATACTCAGCTTTTTAAATAAAGGGGCAGCTAGTAGATATTTTTGGCTTTATGGGCTGTTGTTTCTTTTGCAACCACTTAACTTAGCTGTAGTATTGAGAACACATAGACAGTTCATAAATAAATAAATAAATAGTTGTGTTCCAATAAAACTTTATTTATAAAACAGAACTAAGCCATAGTTTGCTGGCTATATTTATTTTTCTTCTGTATTGGCTAGCGCAGTTTTGTTGGAATTAGCTAAGAAAGGTAACTGTCATTCTGAAATAGGTAGGTCTGTGACTTCAAGACTGTCTTTAAGTCTGTTAAAACATTTTCTGGGAGATGATCATGATGATGACCATGACTATGACAACTATAATTATATTCTATTTAGATTTTCTTCCTAATCTACCCTGATGTTTCCCAAATACAATTAAGAAAATCTTTGGGGCACCTTGGTGCCCCCAACAACTCAGGTTTGAACTACACAGGTCCACTTATATGTAGATTTTTTAAATACATACAGTATAGTACTGCAAATGTCTTTTCCTTATGATTTTCTTAACATTTACTTTCTCTAGCATACTATATTGTAAGAATGCAGTATATAGTACATATAACATACAAAATATGTGTCAATTGACTGTTTATGTTACCAGTCAACAGTAGTCTAATAGTAGTTAAAGTTTTGGGGGAGCTAAAATTTATAAGTGGATTTTTGACTCTATGGAGGAGGTAGTTGGCACCCTTAACCTCAGCATTGCTCAAGGGTCAACTTAATATATATATTCCAATTAACTCATCATTTCGTGATTTTACATTTCTACATTTTTAACTTTTTATTGGGATAATATTTAAACTAATGCCATATATTAAAGCTCATACTGAATTGAATTTGTTTTCTCTTTTATGATCAGTTAGAATGATGAAGCTCAATCTTGAATGTAATTTCTGTACTTGCTATCAGTACAACAGAAATGACCAGTTAGACAACATTTCAGAAGTAAGGCAGAAGTGTTGATGCATGAGTTGTTTTGTGGCCTTATTAACTTCAAATTTTTCTATGACTTATATATATTTATTGTATGGTATCTAAGCTCACTATAATTTTCATATCTTTGCACAATTTTTTGGAAGTGAGACTGAACATCTACAAATGTATATGTATATATTTGTCACTTCTTTGCTTAAATCCTGCAGTTTTCTCATTACCTTTAGGACATGGTCCAAGGTCTTTGACTTGTATTATATAACAGCTCTGGCCACCATTACTTTTTCACACTCCCCATTTCAGCCCTTTCTAGCTGCTAACTCCTGGGTGTGGGCCAGTGCAGGATGAGTTGTTCCTCCTGGCTAAAGCAATTTTCTCCCTCTGTCTTAATCTGGCTAACTCCTACTCATCCTTCGGAGTTCCATTTAAAGGTTACTTTTTTTGTTTTTGAAAATGCTTCCTCAGTTTCCTAGACTTGTTGGGTAAAATGCTATATGTAGTTGCTCTGGCATAGCACATGTTTTTTGGTTTGTTTTTTTCTTCACATTATTGTTTGAGTGAATGTCTTCCCCTGCTGACAGTGCCCTGAGGATAAAGATGATCTGTGTTACTTATCATCCTATGTCTCAAGCACAGTAGCGAGAGGCTTAATAAATATTTCTTACGTAGGGGTGCCTGGGTGGCTCAGTGGGTTAAAGCCTCTGCCTTCGGCTCAGGTCATGATCCCAGGGTCCTGGGATCGAGTCCCGCATCGGGCTCTCTGCTCAGCAGGGAGCCTACTTCCCTTCCTCTCTGCCTGCCTCTCTGCCTACTGTGATCTCTGTCTGTCAAATAAATAAATAAAATCTTTAAAAAAATATTTCTTACGTGTTATTTACTGAGAAAATGGTAATCAGCTTTCTTGCATTGACTCATTGCTTATCTTTTAAAGTATAAATAAAGGGTATATATGTACTGATCTTTTCTTTTTTTAATTAAAGCAAGGACAGACTCCAAGATCATGGGCAATCCAGAATCCTAGTCTACCTGTGTAAGTCACATTTCTTCACACTTGAGCTGTTAAATGGGCAAATATTTATAATATATTAACAAGTAAAAAAAGAAAGCAAAATTTGATATGTAGTTATGTTTGTGAACCATAGAAAAATTGATGTGGATATGGATAGCCTGAAAATTGCCATGCCAAAATTAAAGTAGGTTAATAGGATTGAAGGTAATACTTCTCTGTTTTGTATTTTATTTAATATTCTTACATTTTCCTGAAAAGGTTTAACTCCTGTCATACTTAGAAAACTCAGTTAAATGAATTTGTTAAAGAAATATGTGAAATTTTGAATTTGATAACTGGTATAGTTAAAATGAATTTAATGGGAAATATCTGTGGCTTTGATCTTATCTTGACAGATATGACAATTTTATCAGTCTTCTTTAAATTATTTTATTTGTGGACTAGACCACATTAATTTATGTTTTATATTTTACATTTTTGCCTTTTAAGATTTGAAAGGCTATGACTTTCATATCTTTTCAAGTATTTTAGACTACAGAGCTCATTAGAAAATAGAACCTAAAAACCTAGTACTTTGTTAGGCTTGACCATATGAAATTAGCATCTTTATCGAAGAAAAATGAGCAAGTATCAGCCATTTCACGTGGTTCTACATAACATACCTGTGTGCTCATCTAGCCAAAGAATGGGGGTACGAGGTACATGCAAGCTCTTGATGCAACAAGATACTCAGTATATACTGACAGTCAGTCATGTGCTGGTAAATTTTAGCAGCTGGTTTCCTGAAAGTGTGTTATAAGTTTATTTTAAATTTTACTTGTTAATTATGAATAAACAAGTATATTTTAAGTTGGTTATAAATTTACTGATACAGAGGACATATGGTAAGCAATTTACAAATACTAACAAAATGTATAAACTCTTTTTTATAAATTCCACATAGCCAATTGATCCTCACAGAATGCTTTCTTTGTTTCTTGCTGAATTCTGGTATCTGTAGCCAACTGACGGTTTCAGTCTGTGAACTAGTGTAGTTCCAGTGTGAATGTTGGTTGAATTTTTTCATTTATTGTAAAGTGATGTGAGTGGTCTATTTGTTGACTTCTGTAATAGTTTAGGATACTGGGACTATATTTCCTCAGTTTTTTGTTATTCACCATGTGACAGTTACAGATACGATACAGTTTTAAGTTTAATCTGAACCATTAATGTTTTCTCCATGACTGTTTTAAGTCTAAGAGATCAAAACATAATAAGTCAACTCCTAATTCATAGCATTTGCCAGTTTTTGAGTAAATGATCCCACTGTGGCTGATTTCAACCTATGTGTATTGTATCACTGAGCATGACTTGGAAAGAGAGACATACCATTATATTACCATACAAATACCATACATGTACGTAACCTCTAGAACATAGACAATAGTGAAGTATGGTAGAGTCATTAAGAAGTGATGAATTTGAGTATTTATTACCTTTGTTTTTAATATAACTTATTTATTTTTAATTTTTTATAATTTTATTTTTAATAATGCTTTGTTAACAACCAGCACAAAAACTGCTGTGTATTTAACAAAAGCCTTTCACAGCTGGTAGGTACAGCACACCTTTGGCTTTAGTGTACCTTTTTATTTATTTTAAGATTTTATTTATTTGTCAGAGAGAGAGAGAGAGAGAGAGCAAGCACAAGCAGGGGGAGGGGCAAGCAAAGGGAGACAGGGAATCTGCAGGCTCCCCACTGAGCAAGGAGCCTGATCTGGGACTCGATTCCAGGACCCTGGGATCATGACCTGAAAGGAAGGCAGATGCTTAACCGACTAAGCCACCCAGGCATCCTTAGTGTACCTTTTTATATAAGCTGTAGTGCATACGATTTGCAACTATTAAAGCCTCATTTTAAAAAGTTATGGGATGCATATAGATTTTTTCTTTCAGGGTTCCACGACTTGATTTGGGAAGCCTCATTGACTCTGATGAAGAGGTAATTTTTACCTGGTATTTACTTACTATAATAAACATTTGAACATAGTTGCATGTAGTGTATAATGAGTATTATTTAATTTTATTTTAGGATGATTTTTCACATATTCCACTTAGTACTGCGCATATTCATTTTAACCCACCAAATTCATCTTCTGCTCTTAGTTGGGCCACACCATGTCAGATATCACATACCCAGCATCATCTAAATGAACTGGTTAGTATTTATTTCTTACTACCATCTTTTAGAATTATAATGGGCATTTAAGCACCGTATTTAGTCCAGAAATTTCATTATGTTCAGTCCATGTTTTGTCCAGTTTAAGTATTTTATATATTAAGATCCCAAACAATCATGTTGGTGAAATAATTCTACTTTGTTTTACATTTTTTTCACATAGGAATAGTATTTTAAAAATGTCTTATACAATTAGTAAAGTACAGGTTTATCCTAATAGGAAATCCAGGAATTTAAAAAATATGGTAGATTATTAGATCAGATCTTGCTTGATTTTGTCTTTTGATTTTTAGCCGTTATTGATGTAGTTGTTTTGAACTCTTTTTGCCTCACAGTCTAAATTTTAAAGTAGAAAAGTGATTTCAGATGTTTCAGTGACCCTGTTTTATTCCAAAACTGTCATCACTTCGTGATTGTCTTCTGGCTCTTGTTGAGAAATTTTTTTTAACATTATGAATTGCTAAAGTTATGCTTTTATTTAATGCTAATTAGGTGTAAATTCATCATGAATATAGGAGCAAACTCACCATAATAAATTTAATGGCTCATAAGATTTGTCTCTGGAAATTAACTTATACTTTGGGCTACTGGTATGCTATGGAGTAACTATAAGTAACTATACTTATTCCAAACTATCTTCTTGGGACAATATTTACACTTCAAAAAATATTTAGTGTTTTATTTTGTGTTATGAACACAAGTTCTGTTCAGTATTCTACGAGGAGGGCTTGCTTTTCTGTCTTTGTTAGTCTTTCTCCTATAGCTGGTTCTATTTTTTTAAACGGGTGTGTGTGTGTGTGTGTGTGTGTGTGTGTGTGTGTGTGTGTGTGTATTTTTTTTTTTTTTTTTGAGAGACAGAAAGTGTGTGTGTACGGGGTGCAAGGGCGGGGCAGAGGAAGAGGGAGAGAGACTCCTAAGCAGGCTTCATGCCTAGCAGAGAGCCTGATGCAGGGCTTGATCTCAAGACCCTGAGATCATGACCTGAGTGGAAATCAAGATTCAGAGGCTTAACCAACTGAACCACCCAGGCACCCTTAGCTGGTTCTATTCATGCTCTCCTTGGTCTCATTTTGGATAAATTGCACCAGTAGTACCCTAGTCTGTATCATGCTACAGTTTTCACCCTGAAACTTCGTTTTCTCTTTCTCTAGGTTAGGCTTGGATATTATCAACAGTTTTCAAGGGGCATGCTGGCTTCATCCTCCTTTAGTGTGGCTATCCCCCTTTGGGCCAATATATATGTCATTGCGTTCGCTCAGTACTCTTTTTAGATTTCACTTATACACTGGCTCTGTTATCTTACTCCCATGGGAATTTGGTAGGGAACCAAATACTACCAGAATGTGATATATCTGAAATTTTACAAATGACCACCAGCACTTAGTGTTCTTGATCTCTAATTCCTTAAGTATTCTGGAAGAAATGCTTATCAGTGGAGTTTTTCTGGGGCAGGAATAGAGGGCTTATCTAAAACTCTTAAGAAAGAAAAGTTAATTTTTGTCTTCCCAAATTATTTTAGAATGAGGACTGATCTTTAGTAGGGAAACCAGGTGCAGGCTTCCTGCTTTTTAAGGCCACTGCCCATTCTGAGCAATTCCATCTGCTTCGATTGCTCAGTGATGCTATACCAGCTAAATGTTTTAAATATCACCTCTGGGGGTGTCTGGGTGACTCAGTCAGTTAAGCCTCTGCCTTGGGTATAAGTCAAGATCCTGGGGTCCTGGGATTGAGCCCTGCATAGTGCTTCCTGCTGAGCAGGGAGCCTGCTTTCCCTCTCCCTCTACCCTTCCCCCTGACTCGTGCGCATGCTTGCTCTGTCTCAAATCAATAAAATCTTTTTTTTTAAAGCTACATATCTTTGTATCCTGTCTTTCTTTCTTTCTTTCTTTCTTACTTTCTTTTTTAAACGAACTACTTTTTAGAATGGTTTTAGGTTCATAGCAAAATTGAGTGGAAAGTACAGATATTTCCCTGCTCAGTGGGGAGCCTGTTTCTCCCTCTCACTCTGCTGTTCCCCCTGCTTATGCTCTCTCTCTGTCGAATAAATAAAAAAAAGAAAATAAATAAATATCACTTCTGTTTAGCACATGGATCATAATGATTTATTTCTTAGGCATACATGTTAAGATAAATGATAAGCCTATTAAATGTTAATAAGGAAAATTAATAATTATTTTGATTTTTCTGAGAGATAAATTACTTTTTATTTTTATATCTAGGAGCAAGACATAATACCTGAAAACTTGCCAGCACCAACAAGCAAATATAAACTAAAATATCAGCAATATGAAACTGAAATGAAAGAGGGATATAAACAGTATAGTCAGAGAAATGCAGAAAAGACAAAATCAAAGATCACACAACAATCTCCAAGAAAAAAGATAGATGACAAGGTAATGTATGAGACTTTATAAAGTTCTGATGAAATTTTATTTTATTTTTTTTAAAGATTTTTAAATTTACTTATTTGACAGACAGAGATCACAAGTAGGCAGAGAGGCAAGCAGAGAGAGAGGAAGGGAAGCAGGCTCCCCACCAAGGCAGAGAGCCCGATGCGGGGCACGATCCCAGGACCCTGGGATCATGACCTGAGCTGAAGGACAGAGGCTTTAACCCACTGAGCCACCCAGGCACCCCAAGTTCTGATGAAATTTTAAAAAATTATATGTATTATAGAAATCTTTTTGTCTTGTATGTTTTGCTGTTAGTCATAGTAAGTATAGTAGCTATCATTTATTTCTGTGTGCTAGGGACTATTATTTTAAATATTCTGCTTGCATTAACTAGTTTCTTCTTCTTCTTTTTTTTTTTTTAAAGATTTTATTTATTTATTTGTCAAAGAGAGAGAAAGTGAGAGAGAGCACAAGCTGGGGGAGCAGCAGGCAGAGGGAGAAACAGGCTCCCCGCTGAGCAAGGAGCCCGGATTCTCGGGACTGGATCCTGGGACTCTGGGATCATGACCTGAACCAAAGGCAGACACTTAAGTGGCTAAGCCACCCAGGCACCCTAACTAGTTTATTCTTAACAACAACTCTAAAAGTTTATTATTATCATTTTCAAATGTGAAAACTCTAGCCATATGACCTAGTCATCTTCTCTGTGTAAGGAGTTTTCCATTTGACTTGGGATTGAAAATAAGGCAGTATTAAAAAGCTGTTTTTCATGTAGCTATCTTGAACTCTGTTTGCCTCACAGTCTAAATTTTAAAGTAGAAAAGTGATTTCAGATGTTTCAGTGACCCTGTTTTATTCCAAAACTGTCATCACTCCATGATTGTCTTCTGGCTCTTGTTGAGAGATATTTTTTAACATGAATTGCTAAAATTATGCTTTTACTTAATGTTAATTAGGTGTAAATTCATCATGAATATAAGAGCAAACTCACTATAATAAATTTAATGGCTTTTCATAAGCATATAGGAAAGGTCAACCTTGAATTATAGAGTGAAAGGTTTGGAAACATATTTTGTGATACCACTGGTCATAAAGGGGGAAAAGAGTTGAATATAATTCTTTATTTAATGAATTTTTTTATAAGAATAATGTATTTTCAGGGAAGTTTGCTGGTTGTATTTACTTAACTTTTTTTTAATAGGTAAAAAGAACTGATTAATTTATAAGTAGGTATGGCATATGAGCTATTTTATTTAATACATGTATGAACTATCCTGAACTAACTCTATCACATGGTGTTCAATGGAAGGAGTAACAAAAGTTATGGGATTATTTGGTCTCTTTTATGTTAAGACAGATTTCCCAGATCCAAACAGATGCACACAAGTATAATAATCTGATGTCTGTAATATTAGGCAGGATAATTTCATAGCCCTTTAGCATTTGGCCAGATAGCTGTAGGATCCATCATGTGATATTTAAGTCACTGTAATAATGTTGGGAAAAATAGAACAAAGATTTCTATAAGCTCATGTTTTATTTGCTTCCGCAAAATGGTTTAAAGTTTTTTTTTTTTTTAAGTGAGAGGGTGCATGTGTGCACACGCGTGCACACACAGGTGAGGGGCGGGGAGAGGGGAGAGATTGGTGGGCAGATGGTGGGGCAGAGGTAGAGACAGAGAGAGAATCTGAAGTATGTTCCGCATTCAGTGAGGGGCAAGATGAGAGGCTTGATCTCACAATCGTGAGATCATGACCCAGCTGGGAATCAAGTGCTGGATGATTAACTGACTGAGCCACCCAGGCGCTTTTTTTTTTTTTTTTTTAAAGTAAAACTGTTTTCCTTGAACATAGTTTCAAATGAAAGTATTTGTTTTTGGTTAAGGGAGGAAAAATATTGCTTGTGAAGCTTGCTATATGATTGGTGACTACTTTATTGTATGAATAAAGGGTTTTATAGAAGCCAGCATATTCTTGTTTTCTTCTGGAAAAATTATGTTTTACTTTGGTTTTTAAAATCTACATATGTAGATTTTAAAATGTATGTAATTATTACTTCATATGTCTTGATAGCTTTACAAAACAGCCCTGGTTTCCATACATAATAATTTTGTACTTAAGTGGTTCAAGCAACTTATTTGATGTCTTTTTAGATATATACCATATGAAAATCAAAACTGCTATATAAGTGGGCTATTAGTAAATCCTATTACAATTACATTAGTTAATACTAGAATAGTAATCGTTGGAAATAGAATTGCTTCCTTATATCAAAAATGTAAGACCCTCTACAAAGCAGGGAACAACAGGAAAATTGATTCCTTCTAGTAATTAAAAAGCTGAAGTTAAAAATATTTAGGATCTAGGACAATAACCAAAGGCCATAGCCCCCAACTAGTCAAGCTGATATATCACTCAACAGATAATCAATCAAACTGTAAAGTAAAAGTTCCCCTCACTTGTCTGAATGGCAAATTTCCTTTGTTGAGTTTTCCTTCCATTTAGTATAAAAAGCCAATGAATCTCTTGTTGTCAAATTCTTACCTAAAATGTAAATTTATATTTTAAATAATGAAACATCTTTAAATAAAACATAAAAATCATGAAACTTTAATTTTATAGAAAATACTAAGTCAGTGAATAAAACAGGCAAATATTTTTGCCCTCACAGAGTATATATCATAATGGAAGGACTTAGTGAGAAAAAAATGAATGAATGAATGAATCAGTCAAACAAACCATTTAGTCTGACAGGTGGTGATAAATGCTATGGATGGAAGGGCGCTAGGAAGACCAGGGCTTAAGTTGGGATTGTAATTTGTACAGGTTCACCTGGAAAAATCTTTACCATTAGGTAACGTCTAGGCTCACATCTGAAAAGGGTAATGCACAAGCCACTCAGGATAAACTCTAAGTGTCATGAAGTAGGAGGGGGCATGGAGTATTTAAGAAATACCAAGGAAGACAGTGCGGTCAGAGGAGGAAGAGCAAGGGAGAGATGGAGAGAGAGTTAAGAGTGGTGCTGGGAGGCAGATCTGCAAGACCTTGTAGACAACATGAGGACCTTGCCTTTTACTCTGAGTCAGAAAGCTACTTTGCTACATTGAGGATGGGTTTTACAGAGAATAGGATGAAGTCGGAAGCAGAAAGATGTTTGAGGAGGCTGTCACCATAATCCACATGAAGAATGAAGATGATGGCTTGGACCCAGGCAGCAGACTTGGATAAGAAGTGGTCATGATGAGAAGCCAGACTCTGGAAAGATTTTGAATATTTGAGAGTATTTGCTGAGAATATTTGCTGATGGATTGGTTGTAGGCTTAGGAGAAAGGGATGATGGAGGAGGACTCTAAGGTTTTTGGCCTGAGAAATTGGAAGTGTCGGGGAGACCACAGGGAAGTCTCAGTTGGGGAGGTTAAATCTGACATACTGAGTGGAAATGTCATTGTTTTCCTTTTGTAAAAGGATAAAAACAACCTGAAACAAAATAAAAATCTTTTGAAAGCGTCTTCCAACCAGAACATAGTGCAGACCTTTGCTTGTACTTAAACATATCTGTTAATTTAATCTGCTTAATTTACCTCATATAATGCTAAACATTTTTTGGTGACTGTTAAAATAAAAAACTATTCAGGAAAAAATATAGTAGGAGGTAAATAAATAAAATTGTAAAGTATCCTGATAAATTGATTTCCCAATAGTTAATACTTTTTTTAAAAAAAGATTTTATTTATTTATTTGACAGAGACAGTGAGAGAGCACAAGCAGAGTGAGCGGGACAGAGAGAAGCAGGCTCCCTGTTGGGCAGGGAGCCCGAAGTGGGGCTTGATCCCAGGACTCTGGGATCATAACCTGGGTCAAAGGCAGACCCTTAATCAACTGAGCCACCCAGGTGCCCCTCAATAGTTAAAACTTATATAAGATGCATTATTTGCTTGTTGAATAAGTATTTATCTAGTGCTCACTATGTGTGGTCCTGTTCTGGGATCAGGGATTTTGAAATAAAAATGACAGACAAGGTTCCCTCCCTCATGGAGCGTATAGCAGTAGAGGCAGACAACAATTCATAAACAAATGTATAATAAGATTTCATGTAACAATCAAAGGTCACGAAGACAGAGTAGAGTATGAATATGGAATGTGACCTTTTAAGAAAGCTCTAAAGTAAGAATAAACCCTGGAGGAAAAACTCTTGAAATCCATTAAGTTTTTAGCAGTTGCTATCCTGCCAGGGCATTTTTGTTGTTGTTAAAAGAATGTAAGTACACCTTATATTCAGAGAAAATTTTTGTGTTTATCTTTAGGATCTCAAAGGATCCTTTACCTCAAAGGATACATCCATCTCTTAGGACTTCTGAATTTCATTTTACAAAGGAGTGAACATGCCCATTTTTATTAACTTTACAAAGACTCAAATGGACAATAATAGTTATGATTGTTGCTACCTTTTATCTGATGCTTATTATATGTCAGATACTTTTATAAGTGTTGGACATTTCATGTGTGTGTGTGTGTGTGTGTGTGTGTGAAGTAGTTACTATTATTAATTCCCCTTTTAATTCCCATTATCATGGATAAACTGAGGCATAGTGCGGTCATTAGCTAGAAGGTGGAAGAACTGCATTCAAATAGACAATCTGATTATGAGAGCCTGTACTGTTATACACAGATAACTTGTTAGGTGTTATGTATTGTTATGTATACATTGTTGTACACAAATAACTACTGATGTGTTCAGAGGTTATTTAATACCCTATTTTGTTAAAAACAAATATGCTAAATATGTGAACTAAGTATAAACTCTCAAGAATGCATTTGTTGCTTTCACTTACAGTGTGTACAAGGTGAAGAATCCATCGTGGGTGGTCTTACCACTCTGGACAGGAAAGCCCTCTTACAACAGGGTTATGCAGACATCCCTTACAATGCACAAAGTTGTATGAAAAAATCTGATGCTGTAAGTTAACCGGATCTTTCCTTACTTGTTAAGCCATTAAGATAATTTACCCTCCAAGATTTTGCAGACTTAAATTGAATAAATAATTGCAACAATTGAATTTGGACTGCGGTGGATGTTCACTAATGTGTAAATTGAGTCCTCATTTTTCCAAAGGTTGATGTTTGGTATATTGACTGTGGAGAAATAGTCTTGAATCTTTAAGAGTTTGTAAAAATTTAGTTTATACTATTAAATGTTAATTGGCTGCTATTTTTGTCAGTGGGTTTATTTAACATCACCCCTACCTAAAGTAACCTAGTTATTTTTTAAAAGTGATAAGCTAATAAAACCAGGGAAACTTCAGCAAATTAAGGGAAAGGGGAAGAATAAAGTATTTTTTTTTCTTAGAAAAAGGAAAGCAAAACTCTAGATTCTTAATATTAACTTTAAATTGTGTATTTTACAAAATCAACTAGATTTTTGGATGAGTATCACTTAGGCCAGATCTGGTACAAATAGATAATTACATTTCTATAGCATCCTGGAACAATCAGACCAAGCTCCTTCAAGTTGGAGTCCACTGCTCACCCTAGACATCCCCAGATGATTAAGATCTTAGACATATTTGTAATGGATTATTGAAACGCCAGTGTGTAGTGGTTCAAAAGTTGGGAAACCCTGGTTTAGATAGCCAACAATAATGAAGCATTATGGTTTTAGATGGCTATATTATCAATATCACCGAGAGGAAAGTCAATATATATTTTATTTGGATTACAGTCATCCAGAATTAATATGTTCTCAGTTGACAGCACTGTGTAGTCAGTGTCTGGATCATGGACTGGTTTTCTGTGGATAACTCAAGTTGCTAATTTGTTCTAGTTTTTGTACTGAAACAAAATAAACATTGTTTTCTATGTCTATTATTATTTAGATATTTAAGTTTAATAGAATAAGGAATATTACCAGGGTTATACTAAAATTTTAAAAGCTACTTTATAAGGCAAAATAGTCTCCCAAATAAGGCTTATTTTGATATGTTCCTGAAGTTATACTTGAAATGGATGTTATTGATACTTAAGACCCATTGGGTAATGTTCTTGGTGTCATCCAAAGCCATCTGGGTGTTAGTGGATTTCTTGTACTTACAATCACTTTAATTCACTAAATTCAGCATCAAATATTTTACTTTATTGTGGTAGCACATATTTATCTTTTTTTTTTCCTCAAGGACATGTTTATGTGAGTAAACTTTCAATGTATTTGAAATTAGTACTGATTAATTTTTAAATTCTAGGTGGAAACTTTTTACTTTAATTTTTAACTACTTAATTGAACACCAGAAGTAGTGAAACTTTGGTTTTCATATCTATCTCTTCTAGTTTGTTGTCATTTTTCAACATTATTAGATTCTTTGTGTTAGTGTGACTTCTGTTTCTAATCTGCTTTATGTTTACACAGACCTCAAAATCAATGTTCCTGAGGGTGGGTCTAACCTTTCCTGCAGTAAACCACTATAAATGTCAACACTTAAGTGGGCTTTCTGCATGGGCTCTCTATTCATTAATCTCACCTCTTCTGCTAGCTTCTGGGTTTTACATCTATGTTCTGGCTGAACTTTTCTGTATATAATTTCATAGTCAGTGTTCACCTTCATCACCCTTAGACATAAAACACATTTTGCTGTGCTTGTAAGTTACCATGTGCTTTTTAACTTTTTAATTGCTGTTTTAAATTTATTACTAAACAAAAATCGTTATAAAGTGTCATGAGCTTAGATAACATCAGATGGAGTTATATGTTAAATGAACTGTATTTATATGGGGCATTTTGGGTGTGTAAACTGTATCTTAATTTCTGCTAACCACCCCCACCCCCAGAAAAGCCAAATTCAATTATAGACTAACGTTTAAATAATTGCACCCAAATTTCCAGGTTTCTTAGGAGTTTCTATGATACGCCTTTAGTCATTCTTACTTGAATGTTGTGTCCATTTTGAATAGAGTTACAAAGCCTCTATCATATGCTACATTATTGTACTTGATTTCATTTACTGGAGTGATCAATGGAGATGACAGTAATTTACAGTGTAAAAACAGAGCAAGCTTTATTTTGACCATTTAATTTTTTAACATCTTTTATTTACTCTTCAAAAGAAACATTTTAGTAAATATAGTTACATTATGATCTAATTGGAATTAAATGATTACTAATTTTTCAATTTGATATAACCTAAAATGTAGTAAAAGTATTTTCAAATGAGTTGGAAAAGCAAAAACCAGTGTGAAGATAATTTAATCAAACCAGTAATTGAGAAAAGTTGATCAATGGATATTATGCATAGAAAATATTATCCTTTTAATGATGGGAGGCTGTTGAAAGATTTTTATTTTTAGTTTTTGATAAAGGGTTGAAGGATTCCAATTTAATTTTCACTTCATCTCCTATGAACAGTTTTAGGATAAACTCTTTTTTTGTCAATGTTCGTATTCTTCTTGGAGCACGTAAAAGTGCCTCTTACAAGGCATCTGTCAGGGAGGGGATATCATAGTCTCCTCCTCCTCTGTTCTGGCTTTGTGAAATTCAGAGGCAGTGCATGGAAATCTCTGATGATTTCTACCGAAATTGAAGTGCATTATTTTTAGGAAATAAATCATCGTATTTTCAGATTAAATAATAGGAATTTGTTTTTATTAATGATGGATATAGTAATCTCTATTTAAGAAGAAAGTTGGAAATTTAACGTATATTTTAGGGTCCTTGTGTTAACTACAGTGTTGTTCTGTTTTATGGATAATGAAATTTTTAAAATTTTCTCTTCTCAGGAAATGGTGGCTGCAGAGAGGAAGAAACAGACTGTGGCAGAGCAAGTGATGATAGACCACTTATCTAGGTGAGAGTTAGTAGTAATGAGTGAAAGAAACCATTCAGAAAGTTTTCATTAAATTTTTTTTTATCTTTAGTCAACCAACAGGTGGCTAACTCCAAGGTTCCCACATGTTCTCCGTTCACTACACTCACAATGTTTTAGTGATGGGTTTTTACATCAGTCCTTGGCCAGTAGAAAGACCCAACAGTTGTCTTTGTTAAGTATTTTTCTCTAAATAACTTAAGTATTTACTTCATGACAACTTAATGGCCATTTCAAAAAAAATAATATGCCTAGAGTAAAAGAAAAATATTTTTACTTCATTCTTAAATAGCCACAGTTGCTTGTATGCACCTTCTGGTGCATGGCACGATGTCTCCAACCTTAGAATTGTTGAGGATGCTGTCACTTCACTTTCAATTCCACATGGCACTTGCTGTTCATCATGGCAACTGTAGAAAAACCAGCCCAGCAAACGTTTGACCTCACTGAAAGAGTGTAGCATGATATCTTGGTGAAACTGTGAATTACTTTAAGCTAATAGTTATGTAGTCTCCAACAAATACCATGTGTCACTGTATTGCCCTCAAAAATTAAAAATATCCCACATAGTCCCTGTGAGTTCCCTGTGGCACCCTGGAGTGATGTGGTACACAGTTTGGGAACTGTGGGACTGTTAAAAATTTAAAACTTAATCTGAAGTCTCATAACTCTTAGGAAACTGGGAAAAGGATAATTACCTGCTGTGCTAAAAATTGCATGATAATATGTAAATATTGTAGGATTTCAGAGAAAGGCTGAAATAGTCTAGAAAGTCTTCAAGGAAGAAGTAAGACTTATGGTTAGCTTTGAAAAAAATTATTTAGGTGGCAGAAAGGTATTCTACATGCATGTTTTTCAGCAACTGTCTTGAAATAATTAATTATACTTACAATCTTTAATGTTCCTCTTCCGTTATCCCTTGAACTCATTTTGTTGATGTTTTTACCCTCACCGTGCCACTGCAGTATGTCCTTATAAGATAACTCATCGTGGCATCCACGTTGCCCAACTAATGGTGATTTCTCCGTTCTCATTTACTTGACCCATCAGCAATATCTCACTCTCTTATTGAAAACTTTCTCCTCTTTGAAGTACTTTCTTCTTTCCCATTGGCTTCCTACACACAACACTTAGCTGGTTTTCCTCCTTCTGGTTCTTAATCTCTGCTCCTGGTTCCTTTTCAGTACATGGGAGTACACTGGTCTCCATTCTTAGACTTTTCTACATTGACTTTCTAAGTGATCTCATCTAGTATCATGCCTTTAAAAAGCATTCAGGGGCACCTGGGTGGCTCAGTGGGTTAAAGCCTCTGCCTTTGGCTCAGGTCATGATCCCAGGGTCCTGGGATCAAGCCCCACATCGGGCTCTCAGCTAAGCAGGGAGCCTGCTTCCTCCTCTCTCTCTGCCTGCCTCTCTGCCTACTTGTGATCTCTCTCTGTCAAATAAATAAATAAAATCTTTAAAAAAAAAAAGCATTCATACATTGACGCTTCCTTGATTTGAGGTACCAATACCATGTTTGCCAATCTGGGCTCCTGGAAGTTCTTTCATTCCTTCCCCCAGACCAAATCCTCTTTGATTTTCCTCCAACGTAGCTCCATTCTTTAGGTTTTTCAGACCTAAAATCTTGGTGATGCTTTTGATGCCTCTCTTTTTCTCAAATCCCATATTTAGTTTTCAGCAGTCACTCTCAGTTCTATCATCAAAATAAATTTACTCCTTCTGCTGCCATCATCCCTGTTCACAACATCATCTTCTTTCTCCTGAATTATTTCAGTCACTTTCTAACTGGACTCATTGTGTTTGCACTTGCCCTTCATTGCTCTATTCTTAACCCAGTGGCTAGAGTACGTCTATTAAAAAGTGAGGCAGATCAAACCCTCCAGTAATTTCCCATCTTAGAGTAAAATCTGTGCATTGGTTATGTATTATGACAAAACCTAGTAGCTTAAAACTACAGTGAATAAATAGAACTCGTGTATCTTCAGATCAACTGTCCAGGCTAGGCTTAGTCAATTGGCTCTTGCTTTTTAATTTGGCCAGTTATGTATGAACAAAGCAGTGGTCTCTGTTCTGAGCTTAGGCCTTAAGAAGCCTTATGTGTTTCCACTTACCTTTTGAGCTTTTGCCATATTTGTGAGAAGAACACAACTTGGTTACCCCACTGACCTAAAGAAGAACATGACTCTGCAACTGCAGCTGGGCCACTTAGTCAAGATTATGCTAGATGAGCAGATCCCCAGCCAACCCACACTTACATGAGTTAGTCTAGTTGCCATCAGTAGAGCCATCCAGCTATATATAATTGGGCAAAGCAAGTCAAATGGCTAAGCTCAATGCGAGAGCATGGGAAGTTGGTACTGCACACCTATAATGAGGCCATGGCAAGGATGTGGATCAGGAGTGCTAAAAATTATGGTCAATAATATAACTTACCCAAGCCCTACATCATCTGTCCACTATTAGAACTTGGACTGCTTTTCCTACTTCTCTCCTTGTCTGTTCTGCTCCAGCCATTCAGCTCCCTTCCTGTTCTGGAACATACCAGGTTCACTCCTGTGTTAGGTGTTCTGCATATATTTCCCCCACTGCTTGGAATGCTTTCCCCCCAAGAAATCCATATGGCTGCTTACTTACTTTGCTTCATGTATTCATTCAGGAGTCACCAGCACCGTGTCTATTTGTTTAAAGAATAATAAGAGAGAGACATGGAGCTCAGAGTTCTCTCAAAAATTTCAATCTATCTTTAGATAACACTTATGGAAAAAGATTTTGATAGGAATATTCACTTTTTTGTGGCCAGTATTTTTTAATTATTAAATGTATTCATTCAGTATCTGGAAAATGTATAATTCTGACAGTAGTGTGAATTTGTATCTGTAGATGAGCTTTTCCAGTTGCCTATAAATATGTGAATGCTAGAGTAGTGCATTATCATACTGAGTTCTCAGATTTTGTGTTCTCCTATATAGGGCTGTAATCAGTGATCCTGAACAAAACCTACCCACTGAGAGACCAGAGAGCGCTCCTACCTTTCTAGATTCAAAGACAGCGCCTCTTCGATTTAGGAAAAGAACACTACATGAAACTAAGTAAGAAACTTTTACTTATATCAAATGAAGATATACTACGTTATAAATGAATTTTTTAAAAATGTACTTTTATGTCTAACTGAAAAGAGTTTTTTGGCTCATTTTTGTTTTTTTCTATATAAAGGAAAGTGGAGTTTTTGGAGTTCAGATTACGGTTTTGCCATTTTAAGTCATAGGGTAAACTTTACCCTCCAGCTTTTTTATTAGTAATTTAGGAATAACAGTTACGACCTAGGAGATAATGTATGTGAAAATACAGATATAGTAACTGAGACAATTATATGTATTGAATCTAATCATGTATTCAAAATTATTATTGCTTACAAGTTATTATTATTATTTTGCCTTTTATTTTGTAACTTATAAAATCTTTGGACTTTCACAGTTTTCGGGTGCAGTCCCCCTACATTTCTCAACAACTTCACTGGCAGTTGATGACTAGCCTCAGCATTAAATGACATAGACAATTGACCAGTTTCTGCAGCAATTCTTTCATATTTTCAGACTGCTGTAAATGCCAAAAAGTTCTTAGAACCATTATTTATTTTTTGTCTCATTCTTGTTTTCCAGAAGACTATTTCCATATCTTTAAATATTCAAAGATATCATGTATCAATTTCCTATGGTTGCTGTAACAAATTACCACAAACAATATTTAAAACAACACAAATTTATTTTCTTACAGTTCTGGAGGTCAGATGCCTAAAATCAAGGTGTTCATGAGGCTCCATTCCTTCTGGAGGCCTCAGGGGAGAATCTATTTCCTTTCCTCTTTCAACTTCTAGAGGCTTCCTTTATTCCTTGGCTCATGGCCCCTCCCTGCGTGTTCAAACCCAGCAACAGCTGTGTTTTATCACTCTGATCCTTTTTTTTTTTTTTTTAAAGATTTTATTTATTTATTTGAGAGGGAGTGGGAGAGCAAAAGCATGAGCAGAGGGAGACTCAGGGGCGTTTCAGAGATGATGGGACTTTAAAGGTCACTGGAGCCAAATTTCTACCAAAAGCTTGAATCGCTTCTATAACATATTTGATTACTGGTTGTCCAACTTCTTCAACTTTCTCAGTGAATGGAAACCCACTCTCACTAAGCCCCTCATTTTTTTTTTTTTTTTTTTTTTGGTTAAAGATTTTATTTATTTATTTGTCAGAGTGTGAGAGAGAGAGAGAGCATAAGCAGGGGGAATGGCAGGCAGAGGGAGAAGCAGACCCTCCGCTGAGCAGGGAGCCCATCACAGGGCTCTATCCCAGGATTCTGTGATCATGATCTGAGCCGAAGCCAGACACTTAACTACTGAACCACCCAGGCACCCCTCTGACATTCTTCTTCTATAGTCAACATATCCCTCTGCTTTCTTCTCATAAAGACCCTTGCAATTGCTTTGAATCCAGCTGGATAATTCCAGATAATCTCCTCATCTCAAGGTATTGAATTACATATGCAAAGTCCCTTTTACTGTACCATGTAATTGTAACGTATTTACATGTTCTGAGGAGTAGGATATGAACAACTCTAGACGGTTATCATTTAGCTAACACATCTAAATGTCTCTTTTTAAAGTAAGCTTTTATTGAAATGAAATATATGTTCACAAAGTGTACACATTTTAAGTGTACAGCATAGGAATGTCCACACACTTAATGATACTCACATACCTAGTCCCTGGATCAAGAAATAGAGCATTACTAGTACCTCGGCGACTTCCCTGTGCTGCCTCCCACTTACTGTCCACTTCCTCTACCACACCAGCTTAGCCCTTCTGTCCTGATAGCATGGATGATAATTGCCTTATTATAAACTTACGGAAATCACATCACAAAATTTGGACGCTAGGTATCTGACTTCTTTCAACATGTTCATGAGTTTATCCCTATCATTTGTCTTTGTCTTTTATCCTCATTGCCATACAGTATTTCATGGTATAAATATACAACAGTTTATTCACAGAAGTTGATGAACATTTGGCCTTTTAAGAATGATGCTTCCATGAGGGGCGCCTGGGTGGCTCAGTGGATTAAAGCCTCTGCCTTCGGCTCAGGTCATGATCCCAGGGTCCTGGGATCGAGCCCCGCATCAGGCTCTCTGCTTGGCAGGGAGCCCGCTTCCTCCTCTCTCTCTCTCTGCCTACCTCTCTGCCTACTTATGATCTCTGTCTGTCAAATAAATAAATAAATAAAATCTTAAGAAAAAAAAAAAAAGAAGAATGATGCTTCCATGAACTTTGGTGCATGTTTTTTGGTGAACGCATGTATTCATTTCTGCTCAGGACATACTTAGAAGTAGAATCACTGAATCATTTAGTATGCATATGTTCAGCTTTAAAAAATACTGCCAAATAGTTTTTCAAAGTGGTTGCTGCAAATTAGCATTCCCACCAGGAGCAGTAAAATTAGTATTTTGGTCTTTATCTTGTCTGATTCTTATTCTTGTATTGGTTAAAAGCTGGGGTAGAGAGAAGTGTTTGATACTACTTACTGGATACCTAAAACATTCACACAGAACTTTCCATTTATAATATAAATGTCTTATTTACTTCTTTTATCTTTTCAAGGAGACTGTAGGCTCCTTGAAGCTATTATTTCAACCTATCACTGTTAAATTGAATTCTGTTCACCTTTGAGAAGCAATATAACGTAATGGTTATGAGCAAGATTGGGCTTTGTCATGCTCTAATTATATGACTCTGTAAAATTTATTTGTAAGATGGGATAATAGTACTTACTTCATGGAGTTACTGCAAGCATTGAATGAACCAATGTGCATTTAAGTGATTTTAATAATGACTAGTGTCTAGGGAGTTCTTAATAAATGGTAGCTGTTATTATTGCTGTTATTTTCTTGGCATTTAGAGTTTTTTCAGGCATTTAGTAGCATTCAATAAATACATTAATACTATGGATTAAATTGAATTGAGAAGACAAGTCTTTCATGCTTCCCCTCTGTGTTCACAGACTCCTTTGGTCCACAGGCTCTCGTTGTCTGTATCTTGCTTATTTTTCAGAGACCTTGATTTTAGAAGTATTGCTTTTCAAGATCCCAATGACCCACACACTTACTTACTATTTACGTTATTACAGTTTCATTATACCTGCAGCTTTATTGGAGTGCCATAAAATTATTTGGGAAGGAGAGTAAAGATATGTCGTCAATTCTTCAGATTTCTTATTATAAAGGAGTTTCCTAGTAATAGGATGCTGAAGTGTGGACATTTGGGTTTTACTTCATATTATTAAACAGAATTTTAGGACTGGCAATCTCTGTGAGATCATTCAGTGCCATCTGAAGGCCATAAAGATTACACAGCTCATCTGAGGTCTTTATAGCTAGACTTATTCGAGGCTAGAACCTCATCTAACGCCTTTTCCACCATTCTGTTATTTTGGTAAGGCATGTTTTCAGCTACCCATGACTGAAAACTTGAGTGATAGTGACTTAAACAAGTCGGGATTTGTTTTCTTGTAAAACCAGTTGCCTGGAGGTAGCATTGGTTTTAGTTCAGTGGTTCAGTGATGACACAGCTCTGGGCTGTCTTCCTCAAGATCTTATTGGCCTTTCTGACATGGGTGCCTGATGGCTACAGTGGCTCTGAGCATCATATCCCTGCCACATTCACAGGCAAGAACTATTCCTTTGCCACTCTTTTATCAGGACAAAAGAAAGTCTTCCCCTGAAGATTATTGGCAGAACTTTGTCCCTTAGTCACCTCTAATGGGAAAAGGCTAGAAAAGCAAATTAGATGATTGGAAGAGGGCAAAGGAGAACAGGGTTAGAAGCGGCTGCCTGGTAGCACTGTAACAGGACCCGTTACAAATGCGCTGTTTACTTGTGTAGCACTTTGATACTATACATTCCAACACAAAAGTTATGTGGGTATTATACACTATATCTCAGGGTTTTTTCCCTCTGAGTCTGCTTCAGTTAGCTAGCTAGCACTCTAAAAAAGAAAGAGGTTTATAACTTCATCTTCATTTTGTATATTTCAACATATCAACATAACCTCTTTTGTACTTTATCATTTACGTCAATATCCAGTATAGGAAACTTTAAACTCATTATTGACAAATGTATTTCTTAACAGGATAAGAACCCATTCTACACTAACTGAAAATATGCTTTCTCATAAAGTACAATTTGATGGTAGGATCATATCAAGGTAATTGTGATTTTATTAAACTTTTAATCCTATGATTATAAAACAGTATTCTCTTCAAATAGAAGTAACAATAATGAGATTGGTTAAGTTTGTCACATTTAAATGCAAAATGTGAATTCAGAATGAATGTTTTTAGAAATATATACTAATATGTTACAACAATTATAGGAACTATGAACCTATAAATAAGGCACTTTAATTAGAAGTTATCTAAAAAGTGATTTTAAAATGGCTTTCAAAAAGAAACTTAGAAATGACTTTTTTAAAGATATGTGGTACTTACTAGAGGATGGTAAAGGATTTAAAAATTAACCTTTATGTAAGGTGCTTTCTTTGATTCTCTTTTAAGGGCTTAAATTAATAGTAGATTATTAATAGGTGCAGGACAGTGAGAAGATGATTCTCAAATCTGTTATCTCTGTGTTACAAACTTCCAGTCATACACAATACTGATGTTCTTTATGTATATTAAAGGTGATGTATGTTTTTAAAAGTTATCAAGTTTGTTCAGTGATTTTAAACTTTCTTTGACAAAGATAAGTATCCTTCAGTGGCTTTTTACAAGGTCAGCATTTTTAAAGGTCTTTCACTCTATCTTAAAAGTCTATGTCAAAACATTAATCTATTGTAATATATCTGTATCCTTTCACTGTAAGGTAAAGCCTTTTTCTCCATCCAGATCATGAGCAAGCCATGCCATGTTTCCCTGTAGCTTCCCATAACCCCTGCTCATTGCCACATATCAAAGGGAGTTGTGCTGTTCTTTGACATACACAATGCTGGTTTATTATTTAATTTGAAAATTACCCTTATTTGAAAATCTTTAATATTACTCTGTTTTTCTAGAAATGGACATGATGCCTGCAGAGAGCTGGTTGGTTTCTTTTTTGCTCATGACCAGTCCCTAACAATTTATGAATATCGGCAATTTGGGAAAAATAGGTATGCCCTAAAACATTGTTACAACTCTCAAGATGATTACTTCTGAAGAAGCTGAATAACTTCACATTTTTGTCATTTAACTTCTAGAACAAGTGTGCTTCCTTTTATTCAAAAAAACATTTATAGTCATCAGTGTGGACGAAGAAAAGGAAAACAATACCAACTTGGCGATTTTTATATTGTAAGTGAAGTGTATATGTATGCAAATGTTTTAATGCCAGGTGCTGAATTTTGTGGGATGGTTTTGGGGGTTAGAAAGAACAGGGTTTCTAGTTTTCAATTTATTATCTCTACTCCTTATAGAGCAGGGCTAATGGTTGATCTTTCCCCAGGAGGTTCTGCCTCCCAGGTCCAGATTTCAGTGGTCCGAATGTAAGCATATCACATTAATTCCTTCCAACACTCTACCCCTCCCTCACAATTCTTCAGTATAAGTTTGGGAGGGCTTGTCTCTTGGTACTTTTGAAGGCCTGACAAGGCCGTACCACTGGGTAATTGGCTATTTCAATAGTCCTGGGAGAATGGTCCACATCATGCAGGCTTATCTCCTGTAAATGCATGTTCTTCTCTATATGGAGGGATACTTGACCTCTGGAGCTGTCACATATCTGATAGTTAGCGTCTCCGCCTTGTACTTTCCGCACCTCACACAACTCCTGACTTGTGGTGTAGAACAAGGATACCCTCGAAGAGGTTGATCATAGGTAATATTACAATTTGTGTAGTGCTCTTAAATTATTATGTTCACATTATCTCATGAATAAAATTTAGCACTATCCACAGTGACCATCCATGTAACAAATATCTACTCATAGGCCAAGCATTGGAGATAGAACAGTGAATAAGTTAAATCAATTCCCTACTTACAGGGAGCTTACCGTCCAATGGGAAATATAGTCAAATAGGAGGGCCAGGCCAGAGGGGCAATGATTCAGTTTTGTTGGGTTGAAGAAAGCTTCCTGGAGACAGTGCCACCTAATACTGATCTAGAAAAGGCGTTAGGTAGACTGGGATAGGTAGACAGGAGAGGATAGGAAAAGGCTTCCAGAGGGAGGAGACAGCTCACTGAAAGAACAGAAATGTGGAAGAGCTCAGCTTAGTTGAAGACTTAGACTTAGTTGGAGACTTAGTTGGAAGTCGTTCAGTCTGGCCGAACTTTAGTTCAAGGTCAGAGTTGGCAAGAAATGAGTCAGAGTTCCGACGCCTGGGTGGCTCAGTTGGTTAAATGTCTGCTTCTGCTCAGGTCATGATTCCCCAGTCCTGGGATCGAGTTCCATATGGGGTTTCCTGCTCAGCAGAGAGCCTGCTTCTCCCTCTGCCTCTGCCCATCCCCCTGCCTGTGCTCTCTCTCTCTCTGATGAATAAATAAAATCTTAAAAAATGAAAAAGAGACGAGTCAGAGCTTATTAAGAGTAGCCTTATATTAAAGAGTCATCTAAAATGTATTGGGGAGTTATTGAAAGATGAGAGGTGGATGGATTGAGGGGAGCTGACATTATCAGGTTTGTGATTTAGAAAGAAAGATCTCTCTGGTTACAAGATGGGGAGTGGATTGAAGACTAAAAGAAAGAACCAGATTGGATTGAATTCTATTAATTAGGAAGGAGGTTATAGCAACCTAAATTAGGCAAGTGTCTGTGGCTATGAAGCTAATTAGAAAAAAATTTTAAAGTCTTCAGGAGGGGCGTGCCTGGGTGGCTCAGTGGGTTAGAGCCTTTGCCTTCAGCTCAGGTCATGATCCCAGGGTCCTGTGATCGAGCCTGCTTTCCTTCCTCTCTCTCTGCCTGCTTCTCTGCCTACTTGTGATCTCTGTCTGTCAAATAAATAATAAATAAAATCTTAAAAAAAAAATAAAGTCTTCAGGAGGGAGAATCAAGATATGTTGTGACTGGTTACATGAGGAGTTGGGGGTGAGGAAGAACTTTACATCTTAAACTTGGATTAAGTATACCAGACATGTCACTCTGGCCTGCCTCTTGAGAGCTAGAGAAAATCAGCTCCAAATCCCATTTCACATACCTGTTTACAGAATGTTTAGTGTCCATCCCAATGTCAAAGTTACCTCTAGCTCTGAACTGCTGCTCGAAAATTTTAGTACAGTTTATGACTTATTCTTACTAACCTGTTCTATGTTACTTGAACCCGGTGTAGAACTCTGCTTCCTTTTATGATTTCCAAGAAAGAATGAGGTGGAGGGGTGAGGGGAGAAGGGATAGAGAATGGAATGGAAGGATGAAGGAAGAAAAATAGGGAAGAAGAAGGGAGGGACCCCCCCCCAACACCATACATATGAGCTTTTGTGTGGAAGACATTTTGAAGGGAATATAGAGGGAGGTTTATACTGCAGCAGAGTAAGCAGCTTATAATTTATTATTAGACATTCTTATTTTTAAAAATATGTCCCTTAGGGACGCCTGGGTGGCTCAGTTGGTTAAGCAGCTGCCTTCGGCTCAGGTCATGATCCCAGCGTCCTGGGATCGAGTCCCGCATCGGGCTCCTTGCTCGGCAGGGAGCCTGCTTCTCCCTCTGCCTCTGCCTGCCACTCTGTCTGCCTGTGCTCGCTCGCTCTCTCTCTCTCTCTCTCTGACAAATAAATAAACAAAATCTTTAAAAAAAAAAAAAAAATATGTCCCTTAAACATTTCCTGTGGTATAGGTCCTCCTCTCCTATTTTCTGACACCTCCCATCTCTTGTTCTTCCCACAATCTTCCATTTCTTTATGCAGAAATACTTGGCTTATTTTTCTTTTTTGTGGAGGTGAAGGCAGTTCTTGTCTGCCTTCCAGCTGTTATTCTGGAACTTCTCTTTTCACTTCTGTATGCCCCACCACGGTGTTTCTCTGATACTCCCTGCAAGAAATTTTAGTGCTAGCTATTAAGATAATACTCCTCTACACATGCGCATGAGCCCACAGACGCTCATGTGTAAAAGTGCACCCACAGGTTCACTCCCAAGCATGCACCTGTTGCGTTGGACCGACTCAGAGCTCTTCGATGCACCTAACACACTCGGCAGTGCACACGTACATATGCTCACAGGCATTACCCTGCTACACCTCTCACATAGTCTCCTTAATCACGTAATGTAATCATTTCAAGAGAATTGACACACATTTTAAAGAATGGAGAGAGTACTGTTATTACAATTTTTTAAAGTAAATGCTCCAGGAAAAAGGAAAGAAATCTCTCCCCTTATTTTCAAGAGAGGTAATTCAGCCCCTTATTTAGAGTTTGTGTTTGTCCCTATTTGACCGTACTTATTTGAACAACTCAGAAATTAAAATAGTAACTTTCTAACTTTGGATTAGGGATTTTTTGATAGGAATGTTTTCACCAAAACCTTGCTGTTCCAACTAGGTTATAGTTAGTTTTACATTTATGTGATGGTTGTTGTGAAAAGACCAGGTGTAAGAGGGTGATGAATCTATTAGGTTATCAATTTGCTGTGCATCTTTCTGTGAATCAGGAGTTCTATTTCTTTTTTTTTTTTTTTAAAGATTTTATTTATTTATTTGTCAGAGAGAGAGAGGGAGAGAGAGCAAGCACAGGCAGACAGAATGGCAGGCAGAGGCAGAGGGAGAAGCAGGCTCCCTGATGAGCAAGGATCCTGATGTGGGACTCGATCCCAGGACGCTGGGATCATGACCTGAGCCGAAGGCAGCTGCTTAACCAACTGAGCCACCCAGGCATCCCAGGAGTTCTATTTCTGAACTTAGGGTGTCATGATTTCTTTTCCCCTTTTTTCCCCCAAGATTTTATTTATTTGAGAGAGAGAGTGAGCAAGAGAGAGCATGAACAGGCAGAGGGAGAAGGAGAAGCAGGCTTCCCACTGAGCAGGGAGCCTCATGCAGGGCTCGACCCCAGGACCCTGGGATCATGACCTGAGCCGAAGGCGGACACTTAACTGACTGAGCCACCCAGGTGCCCCAGGGATGTCATAATTTCAATTAAAATAATTTGTCTTTTCTTCCTCTGACTCATAAAAAATTAGAGTTCTTATTTTTTTCCATATCAATTATTAAATCTAAGATCATTCTAATTGAGAGATTGATTGGGAAATTACTTCCTTTATTTTTCAGTATTATTAGCTGAAGCCTGTGTGGTTTCTAAATATTCTCTAAATATACTTTTTTTTATCAGTATAAAAGTATACCATATCAAATATAATCAGAATTGAATTTTTAAAATTAGTGTTAGTTGTATTTCACTCTTTATATACTTTCTAGTTTAAAGAATTCATCTGTTAATTTCTTTAGGGTGCAAACTTGACATTTTTGAGTTCTGATCATTCCAGTCTTCCAGAGAGCATAAAAGAAAACACATTACTTATACTTCGGATCACTAATATTGATCAGATAGCTTTGGATTCTCTCAAGTAAGTCAAATATGCATTTGTCATTTTGAAAGTAAGTGAAAACACTATTTTTTTATTATTGTAAGATGATATTCTATCCTAAAACATTTTGACTTTAGTTAAGCTTTATGTTTTTGAAAAACAAAGCATAGCTATATTTGTCTAGTTCGTGTTCTATATTGTACTCAAATACATCTTATGTGTAGGAATAGTTAAATAAAGATCAAAAGTGTTCCATCTATGTTAAAGGTTATTAATTTGTCTGTGCTATAACACCTTTATTTTACCAAATGCCACCAAAGCAGTCAATTTTAAAGGTAAGCTATAGTATAATCTTATAACATTTCCCACATTTTAGTGTAATGCCTTTTTTTTTTGCACTAAAAAATGTCTTGGGTCTCACATGATTATAGTATTCCTTGATTGATGATATGCATAATGAAAAAATAATGCTATGAATCAAAAGTGCTTTTATTTTTAAATTTTTATTAATTTATATTTTTTAGAGAGAGAGAACAAGCTAGGGGTGGGGAAGAGAGGGTCAAAGGAAGAGGGAGAGAGAATCTTAAGCAGGTTCCTCACCCACCAGTCTGGAGCCCAATGTGGAGCTTGATCTCAGGACCCTGAGATCATGATCTGTGCCGAATTTGAGAGTTAGATGCTTTATCAACTGAGCCACCCAGGTTCCCCCCCAAAAAAGACTTTTAAATGAATACCTATATTATAAAACATATTTAATTTATATATATTTTATTATATATAATATGTATGAACATTATCAGTTGCAATATATATTATTTGTATGTATTTTATAATATATGTATTCTGTGATTCAAAAAAATTCAAATTCATTTACAAATGCTTTGATTCATAGAAATCACAGCCTTATATATAAATAATATATATTTTATGTATATTCATAGTTATATATGAATTATGTAAGTAAAATGTAACCATATATAATCACATATAATCAATAAAATATATATATTTTTAAATCACAGAATATATGTGTATATATGCTGTTCTTGCTGAGTGTTTCTTGGTGCTGTATGCATTTCAAAATGACAATAATTGGTGTACTATATTAGAGGCCACATCCCATAAATTGGCTAAAGGATGTCTGTTTCTTTTTTCTTTTTTTTTTTTTAAGATTTATTTATTTATTTATTTATTTGACAGACAGAGATCACAAGTAGGCAGAGAGGCAGGCAGAGAGAGAGAGGAGGAAGCAGACTCCCCGCTTGAGCAGAGAGCCCGATTCGGGGCTCGATCCCAGGACCCTGAGATCATGACATGAGCCGAAGGCAGAGGCTTTAACCCACTGAGCCACCCAGGCGCCCCAGGATATCTGTTTCTTTGTCATTTACTGTAGTGCTCAAATGAATGCAGTTTTTTTTTCTGTCTTTTTAAAATAACATTTTTATATTTTGTACTTTCACAGTTAAAACTGCTTTTAAATTTTGTAGTTTTAATCATTCTAAAAGAACATTGAAATAGCTACAAAATGAATGTAATGTTTAAAGGTAGTTCTTGGAAGGTTTAAAGATATTAGCTTTTGATTTAGTATATTTAATTTTTCTGGAAATTATAGCAGCGAAGCTGGGACTTGGGGAATCTCTAAGCACTCTTCCAACTCTGAGAGTTTCTTTGAGTCCAGAATAGGGAAGAGCTTAGAGTTTCCGTGCTCAAGATTGCAAAAGAATATATTTTTATCACTGTGAACATATCAATTACAGAACTGATTCTGTGGAGCCTGAGGATAATTTAACCAGTCAAGAAGCTAACGATAGGCTTATTTTAAAGGCTGTTCAAGGTATGTATCATTACTATTGTCTCAAGTAGTTTTCATTTTCAACAATTTTCTTTGCAAGCAGCAAAGCAGTATTTTCCAGACATTTCTCAGTTTTACAACAAAGGAACTTGATTTATATTTCTTTTCTTTACTTTTTTTAAGATTTTATTTATTTGTTTGACAGACAGAGACACAGTGAGAGAGGGAACACTAGCAGGGGGAAGTGGGAGAGGGAGAAACAGGCTTCCTGCCGAGCAGGGATTCCCATGCGGGGCTTGGGGCTCCATCCCAGGACTCTAGGATCATGTCATGAGCCTAAGGCAGACACCTAACGACTGAGCCACGCAGGTGCTCCACTGATTTATATTTCTTATTTGCTTCTTTTTATGAATTTACACATTTAAAAATACTTTTATAAAGCAGGTGGATTTGAAAAAAAAAATGAAAATAGTATTAGGATGTTTTCCACTTTAGTGATCTTGTTTAACTAGTATTATATGACTTATGAATTTAAGAATTTTAGAAAGTACTAGATAGTATGCATTTTCTCCATGAAATGAATAAAATGTAAGTGATTTTGTAATATAATATTTGTCTTATGCATGAGATGATGTCCCAAAGTGATTTATGGCAACCTCTTTTAAAAGAGAAAAATGCTAGCCTGGGAGCCAGGTTGATGTTTGGACTCTGCCATTTCATAGACTTTGTGTAAATCTCTTGCACTTCTTTTTCATCTTTATAATGGGGATAACCTATTTTATTAACTTTCCAGAGTTATTGTGGTAATAAATGATATACACACAGGCTTTGGATACGAAAATGTGTTATAGATTTTTGTTTCTAGAGTCCAGTCTTATAACCACTAAAGGATAGTAGGCTCAGACAGACAGTTCCTTTGATGACTCTCATGGCCAAGAGGGAGGGATACATTAAACAAACAATCATAGAAATCAACCTATCATTTATAAAGTTTGATAAATCCTGATTTTTCATTTAAAAATGATATGAGAGTAAAAAGGCTAGAAACAGATTTAAAAGTTGTCTGGGATTGGGGTTTGAACTCTCCCAATATTCTTGATGTCATTGTTAGTAAATCATTTTCTCTTTTTTTTCACGGTCAGCCCAATGTTTGTCACTGTTGAATCCACTGTTGACATTTGTTCTTTATTATATTTAATAACTGCTTTAGTAGAGTTAACTATATTTTCTTAAGTAAAAATGGCATAAATTGTGTTAAGTGTAATTACTGACCTTCAAAGAGAATGCTAGAAGCTTGAGAATATAACTAAAAATTCCAAAAAAAAAAAAAGGCCTGCTTTAAGTGTGTAAGTATAAGATAGCACTGCAAAGCTTTGATGCTGTTCAATATGTAAGATACAATTTGAAGATTTCAGATATTTTAGAAATTTTGAACTCGTTATTTTTGAGTGACTTGCCTGGCATCAATTTTGTAATTATAGCAAAGAGGAAAGAGATTAAAGATGTGAGATCATTAGATGAAGAGGAAGTCTGGAAAGTAAAAACGAAGATTTTATTTGTAACATGTAGATTATTTTCATGCTGATGAAGTGATCCCTTATTTTTCTATGTAACACTTTCACCACACAGTGGTGCTATAGTTCTAGTATATTTACATGCGATTTTGTATGTAACACTCTTTACTAAAAGCATTCTATTTTTCAAGGTCTTTTGTCAGTCCTACATACCATCTAGTTGCATATTCACATCCCTTATACCACTTACATCAACTTTAATTTTTCTACCAGAGAACCAATACATTTGTATATAGAAAAAACTGGTTTCCGTTTCTCTTCTTCCTAAATAGATGCACTAAAAGAACAGCTACACAAAAGAAGTGTTCGTATTTTGACTGGATTGGCAAAATATCTTCAACAATTGGACAAAGAAGGAACTGGACTTTTAGATAAGGCAGATTTTAAGCAAACTCTCCAAGTATTTCACTTAGAAGTGTCTGAAAATGTAGGTACTGTGATGAATGACATAGTATTCTTAAATGGTATTATTTACTCTTCTAATGGGATTTTAGTAGTTCAGGTGTGTCTTTTTTTAAAAAAAGATTCTATTTATTTATTTATTTATTTATTTATTTAATGAGTAGGGGGAACGGGCAGAGGGAGAGAGAGAATCTCAAGCAGATTCCGCACAGGGTGCTGAACCCCTGAGATCGTGAACCTGAGCCCAAATCAAGAGTTGGATGCTTAACCAACGCAGGTGCCCCCATGTGTCTCTTTCTTTATGCTTCATAATCAGCGTTAGTCATCAGGTGACAAGTCTTGTTAATTTTAATCTCACTATTCATTCTTCCTTCATATATTTAATAGAACCTAATAAGTAGGCATTGTTCTAAGCTCTGAGAGTGCATACTCTAGACTCTCAAGGTCTTCATAATCAGAAGAAAAGAGAGATGAAGGATTATGAAAGACTATATGTGTTAAATAGAGAATGCTTACAGAACACATGGAATTAATTCCAGGCCAGGTTATGGGGAAGAAGAGAGAAGATCATAGGATTCCTGGAGAAGGGCATAACTGAGCTGAGTTCTGAAGGATGAGGAGGAGTTAAACAGGCAAGAAGGGAGGAAGAACGTGGGTCAGACAATGAATATTTCATACAAAGGGGAAGCACATGCAAAGACATGAAGAGGAGGAGGGGGCGTGTAGCCTGTTCTAAGAATTGCAAAAGGCCAAAACCAACCCCCTGCTCCCCAACAAGCAACCAGAGCTTTTATACATCCTGTTCCCTGTACAGTGAGCAGTCTTTCACTAGACTTTTGCAGGGTTGGATTTTTCATCATTTAGGCTTTCTCTATGGGGAGCACTATACTGACACTCTGTCTAAAGCAGTGCCTATCTGATCCTTGGTCCTCTCTGTACCACTTGTCATATTATTTTCTTCATACCACTTCGCAAGTATTTTCTGGCTCTGCTGGCAAGTAGAGTGTTAGATCCATCGGGACGGGGACCAAGGTGCTTCTGGTTTCCTGCTGTGTCTAACACCTCCAATGGAACCTTGCTTATGGCAAGTGCTGGAGAAACAGCATAGTTTACATGGACAGACGTATGGAAGGAAGGAAAAGAGAAGAGTGGAGAGAAATAAGCCTGGTGGGGTCCATTATCTTAAAGCCTTTGCATGCTATGCTAAGAAGTTTGGGTTTCATTCTAAAAGTAAATTTGAAACATGTCTACCTCGAGGGTTTCAGATCAGAGATTCTCTTGCATTGTTCTCTCTTGCTTCAAATAGTCTTGTCACAAGATGTCGTGTACTTGTGGAAGGAACACTGGGAATTGAACTTAGGAGATATAGATTCAAGTTCTGGACTTATCACTTCAGCTGTGTGATCTTGCATAGGTCTTTTTAAACTTTTCTGATTGACAGGCTCTGCCTGGGCAATCTACAGATAATACCTGTGGTCAGAGTTACTTTGAAACTCAAATGAGAAAATTACATGGGAATAGGCCTTTTCAACTAAAATTCTGTGCCAGTGTGATGTTGTTTATCATTGTTGTCACATGCCTGTCCTTTGTGTTTTTTACCAAGTTTAACCTTGTGGCCCACTTAGTGATACATATTAGAGATCCTCTAACTTCATTTCTTCCTCTTAATAATAATAATAATAATAATATAGTAAAAACAGCAATAGAAAATTAGAAGCCTTGGTGTCTTTATCCACAGTCACACAGGTAATTAATAACTGAGTTAGAGTTAGTGCCCAGATAATCTAGGTCAGTCTTTTATTCTTTCTGCATCAACCAGTACTTCTTTTCTTGGTTGATTTGCTGAATTTTTGTCCCTGGAGTCAGAAATAGAAACTAAAATAATCACATAAGACTTCAAACATAGGGAGAACATATATTATGAAAATACGAGTAAGCTTCCCTTTTACCCATTTTAAAAATAATATTCCCTGCTTTTGCCCCTGTAATATCACTAGAGACCGCCCATGAAATGATAAGCAGAAATAAGGACTCAAGAATCACCAATCTGGGTCTAATTGTGGAAGTAGTTTGGGGAAGGCATGGTCATTCTCTTTGATTTGAAATTTAAAAAATTAATATGCACCCTAAGTACCTTAATTTATTAGAGATACTATCAATAAATTTAAGCTCAGTTTTTTTCAACTGAATTATAATTTTCCAGTCTGTACCATATCTTAGAAAGACTTACATAAATTTCTTGCCCGTTTTGGTAAATTATTCCATTTTTGAAAATTATTTCTTTTAAGCTTCAAGCAGTATCTTTTAATTCTAGTATTCCATGAGTTGGGCATGCGAATTCATCTTTTATCTGTATTATGTAAGATTTTAAAGGTCAAGCTCATTTTTAAATTTAAGAGCGCATTTTACAGACACTTAAAGTTAGTCATGTGCTAGGCGTAATGACAGACAAATTAGGGGTTATTGAAAATTGGGGGAAGCAGGGCATCTTAAGATTGAGTTTTTCTTATTAGAATTTTAATTGAAAAAAGCAGGAGGAAGTAGAACTTTTTTGAGTCCCATTGTTTGTCAGTCACCTTATTTACAATCTTGTTTAAAGCTAACAACTTGACTGAAACTTTGAAAATACATCTATTTACCTGAGTTTAAGAAAACCCCATCTGTATTTTTTTGTTGTTGTTATTAGGAAATCTGTGACTAGAACATTCTATTAAATTGTGCATTTGCAAAGAAGTAAGTGGCAATGGTAAAATCAGCAAACTGGCATAAGGATTTACTCAAAATAACACCTTTCAGTGTGAATTGTGGGATAATATTGGAGCCATTTAGATCTTTTGCACTTTGAAACATGACGACTAGCAGAAATACCACTAGTCGCCCTAATGCCAGTTGGAAGCACTGTAGAACCTGAAGTGAATTTTTAATTGTCACATATATAATACATTAAAAATAATTGAAAGTTCAAATTCAAGTAAGTGGTGAGCATTTTTGTATTCAAAGGAATCAAACTTAAAATAAGAATTTGTGACACTGACTCTCCTAAATGACCCTGAATTTTACAGAACTGTCCACCACAGAGTTCCTTTAAATGGTTTTCTTAGTGCCTTTGTTTGGTTTTATATGTAACTTTTTGGAATTGTCTTGTTAAATCTGCTTCTTTGCCCGGGGCTACAAAAGTAGTAACAAAATAGTATTAAGATGAGTTTTGTTGTGGTCGTATATAACTAAAAGGTGAAACAGTGGTCTCTGTGAATATGTCTAGGATTTTGAGTCTGCCTGGCAAATTCTGAATGGCAATGACAGTGGCAAGGTTGATTATGGAGAATTCAAACGTGCCATTATTGGTGAAATGAACGAATACAGGAAATCATTTGTTCGAAAGGTAATTTTGTTAAATAATCTTTGAAATAGTTACTTTTTTAAGTTTTTAAAAATTTTTGTAATTTATTTAAGAGAGGGGGCATGCACATGGGCAGGGGTACACAAGCAGGGGGCGGGGGGCGGGGGGGCGGGCAGAGGGAGGAGCAGATTTCCTGCTGAGCCGGGAACCTGGTGCGGGACTCCATCACAGGACTCCAGGATCATGACCTGAGCAGAAGGCAGATGCTTAACTGCTGAGCCATGCAAGCACCCCTGAAATAGTTACTTTTAGTAGAGTGTTGGGTTCATTATTTTACAACTTTATTGATTTCTATTGAACATGTTTTGAATCCCTTCACCTGTAATATATTTTGGAACTAGTAAAATACAGGCAAACACATACATATACAAATCTACCAGCATAAAGCAAAATAATTTATGCATATGTTTTAGGAACAGACTTTACAAGACCAGTGCTCTAACCCCTGAGCTACACTTCCCCTTGTTTTAGGAACAGATTTTAAAAGGAAAATAAACTCTGAAATCAAATTTTGGTTCACACATTACTGTGTTCCACACATAACTGGTTCCATAAATTTCTGGCTCCAAAAATAACTAGTTATATGATTATCTATTATTAAATGTCTCTGAGCCTTAGTTTCTTGTCTCATAGAGTTGGTATAAGGACTAAACTTGTAAAATTCTTAGCATTGTGGCTGTTCTAGTGTCAAGGCTGAATACATGTTATCTTAGGAGTATGACTAAGGGATGTTTTTCTGGTTTTTATAATATGCATATTAGCTAGCTGTTCAAATGAAGGTTAAAATGACTATTAAATTGGAATTAAAAATAGGAGCCCTGATTTTTTTTTTTTTTTTTAAGATTCACTTATTTATTTTAGAGAGAGAGAGAGAAGGAGAAGCATGCTTGGGCATGTGTGAGTGAGGGAAGGGGCAGAGGGAGAAGGAGAGAGAATCTCAAACAGGCTTGGAGCCCAATACAGGCTTGATCCACAGCCGTGAGATCATGACCTGAGCCTAAATCAAGAATTGAGGCTTAACCAACTGAGCCATCCAGGCACCCCAGGAGGCCCTGATTTTTATAGGAAACTACATCTTACTCAGGTTCTGCTGGCCATTTTTAGAGCATACTTTCGAGCAATGTAGATTCTTTCTCTTTCGAATATGTACCTGTGTGTATGTATCTAATATTGAAACAAAGCTTTTGTGTATAGAAGAGTATAAACAATTACATGAGGTATAAATCTCAAATAGAAAATATCAAAATCTTTACTGGCCAAAAGACACAATAAAAATTTTATGTTAAATGAATTCATCACATAATAATTTATAAATTTGCTCTTATTTGTACTTTACATGCCCAGGTGACAGATGTATCAGGAGTAGAAGCTAGAGGGTTATCTCTTTCATAAATCTTGATACTAGGAAAAGAGGATAAAAGTAGAGTTATAAAGTACTGTATTAGTTCACCAGGGCTGCCATAACAAATACTACAGACTGGGTGATTTAAATAACAGAAATGTATTGTCTCACAGTTCTGGAGGCTTGAAGTCCAAGATCAAGATGTTAGCAGATTTGGTTAGAGGTGGAAGTTACCAGAAAGGTCTTTTACCCAGCTCTTCAGTATAAGAGGAGAAAAGCTAGGGCAACAGAGGTTAGCTTACTATCTCAAGGTCAGGGTGGCAGAGAGTGTAGTTTACCTATCTTGCTCCAGTATCTTCCTGTATTCATAATACTTCCTTCTTATAGCAGTTTAGTACTTTTAAACTGGCTTTTTAGAGCTTAAGGATAACCTACAGAATAGAGAATTGGGTTCTCATGTCTAATGATTTCATAGAAAAAAATAACATTTTTTTCTTTATTTAGGCCTTCATGAAATTGGATTTCAACAAAACTGGCTCTGTGCCTATTATAAACATAAGAAAATGTTACTGTGCAAAGAAGCATCCTCAAGTAATTTCAGGTAATTATTATGAGTCAAAAGGCATTAGATTTCTAAAACGTTAATAAAAGTAAAATCTTAAATTATATTAACTTACAGTGTAGACTTGAGGCCATTAAGGGAGGAAATAAACACTTATTTTTTTAAACCAGAAACATAAGAGCCATTTGACCTTCTTCATTTAAATATTCTGAGGTCTATTGTTTATGCTTTTTTTTTTTTATATTTATGAACTGAGATTGAATTTTTATTTCTTACTGAGGAGATCATGAGGAATTTGCGTTAGAACAGAATGAATTTAGAGGACAGATAATTACATGTGCAAGTTCTCTGGGTTAGTTTTACTGTATCTTCATATACTTGAAGATTCAAGGCAGAAAGTGAATGTCTTTCTCTAGGAATGGTGATATATATACATAACAGGCATACATATGTGTATCAAAATTTGAGGATCTAGAAAATACCTCAAATACATACAGGCAATTTAGGATGGCTTGACTTAACAATTTTCTGACTTTACAATAGTACTAAAACAATGTGCATTTAGTAGAAACTGCACTTCAAATTTTGCTTTTTGATCTTCGCCCTGGCTAGCATTCACAGTCTGATACTCTCTTGTGAAGCTGGCAGCAGTAGCAAGCTCCCAGCCGGCCATGTGACCAGGAGAGTAACAACCTATACACTTATGTAATCATTCTATACCCATACGGCTATTCTGTTTTTCACTTTCAGTACAGTATTCAATAAATTACATGAGATATTCAATACTATATTATATATATATGTATGTACACATACACATATATACAGTATATATACATATATATACACAGTATTCAATGAATTACATGAGATACTCAATACTGTATTATAAAATGGGCTTTGTCTTAGGTGATTTTGCCCAAGTGTAGGCTAATTGTAAGTGTTCTGGGCACGACTAAGGTGGGTTAGGCTAAACTATGGTCTTTTAGGTTAGATGAATTAAGAGCATTTTCAGCTTAAGACAGTTTCAGTTTACAATAGGTTTATCAGATACAACTTTATTGTGAGTCAGGGAAGATCTGTAATTTTAGAGATTCATTACCTACTATATTTTTTCTGACTTAAATTTTTATATAGTTGATTTATTAATACATTCTTAGTATAAAGAAAGTATTTGGGGGCGCCTGGGTGGCTCAGTGGGTTAAAGCTTCTGTCTTCGGCTCAGGTCATGATCTCAGGGTCCTGGGATCGAGCCCCCTCATCGGGCTTTCTGCTCAGCAGGGAGCCTGCTTCCCTTCCTCTCTCTCTGCCTGCCTTTCTGCCTACTTGTGATGTCTGTCTGTCAAATAAATAAATAAAATCTTTAAAAAAAAAAAAGAAAGAAAGAAAGTATTTGGCCACCGTGACTCTCCTCTTTTCATCACACGTTCCTCTATAGAGGTAACATTATCATTTAATATATATACATTTCTTATATGTCCTTACTCTGTGAATTTTCATAGCTATATAGGTGCTATAAATATCAAATACTTCTTGAATATATATATTTTTTTAGCATGACAGGTACACTGAACACCATGGTATGTAGTTTACTTTTTACACTCAAAAATATGTTTTGGAGCTCTTGCCATATTAATCCATATTGAACCACCTTATTTTTATCTGCTGCATATTATTCTTTTTAAAAATCAATACACTACAATTTACCTAGTTAGGCTCCTACTGGCAGACTTTAAATTTCTAAACAATGAAGCAACGAATATGTTTATTTATGACTCCTCAGGCTCATTTTCTGCTGTTTCTTATGGGGTGGTAATTTCAATACCTAGAATATCTACATTTCAAATTTTAACTGATACTTAAAATTGCATTATAAGATGGCTATACCAGATTATATTGCCGTTAGTTGGAGAATTCATTTCCCCGACTGTCCTCCCAACACCACAGAATTTTGCCAATCTGATAGACTAAAAAAAAATTTTATTTGCATTTCCCTGGTTATTTGGAAGGTTAAACATATTTTTGTATTTTTTGACCATTTGTAATTTATATTTTATGAAGTTTCTTACTAATTTATGATTTTGATCATATACTGTTAAATACTATAGAATACTATTCCAGAATTTTTCTTTGATATTTTTATTATTAAAAGAAGTTACCCTGTAATTACTTTTGTTTATCACCATTAACCCTTATAAATGGTTTATTTATTACTTTTAATTATGAAGTGAAAAAAACAACAATTTGTTATAAAGATTAAAGGTAACTATCACTGGCTTCCTGATTTCTGATAGCCTAAGGTCAGAATAGTTTAATTTGCTTATCAATGACTTTAAATGAACTGCAGTTGCCGTAAGAAAATTTCTAGCATTATTGAATTGGATTTAGCATATCTTTTTCTTTAAACCTATGTCATTCCCTGCTTTTCTTCCTTAATTAGCTTGCTAAGTATAAGAACAAGATAGTTTTCTTATTTCAAAATTAGATGATTTCAACATCCTACATTGTTTTTCTCTTTGTTTTCTCCCTTCTAACAATCTTAATTAAGTTGCTAAAGCAGCTTTAGTTTTGTTAGATGTCATTGAATTGTTGGTGAGGGTTTTGTTTTTGTTGGATAAGCCTTCATTAGTTTAAGAAATTCCAACACCTCAAAAAAAAAAAACCCCAAACCCAAAATTCCATATCTCATCTTTGCATTCACATTAAGGAAAATAAGCTAGTAGGTACAAGCAGTCTAAAAAAGAAAAACAAACACCCATTGAAGTTTTTTAAAGTTTAAAGTTTAAAAATATTACCTATCAATACAAATTATAATCTAGTCACATGCCCATCTCTGGAATATAAATGATTTACAATTAAAAAATATTTATCTATTTGAGAAAGAGAGAGAGAGAGAGTGAGCAAAGGGAGGGACAGAGTGAGAAGGAGAGAAGCAGACTTCCCACCGAATTTGGAGCCCAGCACGGGACTCCATCTCATGACCTCAGGATCATACCAGAGCCAAACCTAGAGTTGGACGTTCAACTGACTAAGCCACCCAGGCGTTCCTAGATTATTTACAATTTATAATTAATTTCAAATTAAGGCTTTTGTAGCACATTTTTACTATAGAAAATACTTTCTTTTTACTATACTTAAATAATTTATTAGAAAAAGATATTTTCAGCTTTAATAGAAATGAAATGTTCCAAATGTATTTCTCTGTAAAGATATTATCATTGTTTATTAAAATACTTCATGGTGGGACACCTGGGTGGTGACGCAGTTGGTTAAGCATCTGCCTTCAGCTCAGGTCATGATCCCTCGGTCCTGGGATGGAGTCCCATGTCAGGCTCCCTGCTCAGTGGGGGAGCTTTCTTCTCCCTCTGCCTGCTGCTCCCCCTGCTTGTGCTCTCTCCCTCTCTTTGTCTCTCTGACAAATAAATAAATAAAATCTTAAAAAAAAAAATAAAATAAAATACTTCATGGTGTCCAAGTAGACAGAAAGAAAGGTTAGTTAAAAATGATAAAAGGTAAGTAGTTCTTGGATGGTGATACAGAGGAGGTATAAAAATCTTGAGTATTTGAAACAAAAATTTAAATAAAAAATGTTTTCATTAAAAAATAGTATTAAAACTCATTTGTTCAAAAGTATGGGTGATAAACAGAGGAGGAAATCTCTTTTGCCAACAGGTATATATTTTTATATATATTAGATCTTGGTTAATTTTAACCCTTGACTAACACTCAATCACAAATTCACTCTATTGTTTTATATTATCATTTCTGCAGAGCATAATTATCCAGTCCTTGTTCATTCAGCCTTTTTTAAAAATAAAATAATCATTTTCTCTATTTTGCACATATTTTTAAAAGACAGCAAACATCTAAAGCATTTTTTTTTTAATTTGAAAGGCCCTTAACAATGAATGATGAAGTCCATTAGAGAACTTCTGCTTTTTGAAAAATATCCAACCCTTATCCTAATTTTGCCCACCTCATTAGACAATTAAGGTGGTTTTCCCAATTTAAGTTTGTAATTTTAAAATGCAACATGGCTTCAGAGTGATTTAGAGGGTCATTTAGATTTCTCTGACACTTTTTTGCCTTTGTATATGGGTCTCTATTTTCTTTGATTATCATCTGACCATATTTTGTAGCTTCCTTTCATCTTTTAATTCCTCTTATTAAAAACTTAAAGAATATCTTTTTTCCTCCTCCATGCTAGAATCCTGGGAATAGATATAAATCCATGTGAGTAGGGAGCACCTGAGATTGCTCCTTCGTTTTCACTGACCACAAAATAACCCAAGCTACTTAATTAAATATTAATTAAATTAAATTAATTAAATATTGTTCTCTTCCTGAATTAAAAAAAATCAAATGAATTAAAAGACTGAATCAGATATTTTATGTTGCCTCTTTGGTGTTTTGTTTTGTTTTGTTTTGTTTTAAATATTTTATTTATTTATTTGTCAGACAGAGAAAGAGAGCTAGTGCACAAGCAGGGGGAGCAGCAGAGGGAGAGGGAGAAGCAGGGTCCCTGCTGAGTAAGGAGCCTGATGCTGGGAGATCCTGACCTGAGCTGAAGGCAGACCCTTAACCAACTGAGCCACCCAGGTGTGCCTGTGTGTGTGTGTGTGTGTGTGTGTTTTAAGAACTTTTACAGTATTTTAATTGAATTTAAATGGCTGTGAAAGGGTGATTCTAGAGATATAAAATCTCCAGGTTTAATATATTCTTCCTGATTTGCTAAAATTGACCTGCTTCTCCCAAATTAAACTCAGTGGAATATTCTTTTTAGAAGTACTTTTCAGTCACAATCCTTGGGTGGAGACTACAACGTCTCTATCATCTCAGTAATACACAGAGTTAGGAATCTTAATGGATATAGCATGTTCAAATGAGTAATTTTCTTTCTTTTAGATTTTATTTATTTATTTATTTGAATTCAAGTTAGTTAACATATAGTGTATTGTTAGTTTCAGGATAGAGTTTAGTGACTCATCACTTGCATACAACACCCAGTGCTCATTACAACACATTCCCTCCTTAATGCCCATCACCCAGTTACCCCACCCCCACCCCCCTCTACAGCCCCCAGTTTGTTCCCTATAGCTAAGTCTCTTATGGTTTGCCTCCCTGTCTGTTTTTTCTTTTATTTCATTTTTCATTCCCTTCCCCTATGATCATCTGTTTTATTTCTTAAATTCCACATATGAACGAAATCATATGGTATTTGTCTCTCTGGCTGACTTATTTTACTTAGCAGTTACGTTCTCTCTTTACATAACAAATTGAAGCATTATAATTTTTTTACATTTTTGATTCTCAGTAGCATCTTCCTATAGAATGAAATTAATCATATTTAGTATGATGTAGTGGAAATAGCCTACTTAATGTCAGAGATTAAAATAGAGTGATTTAATCTAGTGAAAATTCTTCCAGCAAAGATTTTCATAGGCCTTTGAATCTTATTTGTGGTAGTATTTTCTAGCTGCAGTTATGAATAACTGATTCATAAAATAGCTAATGCCTGAATATAGGGATGTTTTTCACACATTGGGTTACTGTGTTAACAGCCTATAAATCTTTGAAATTATTTACTTGTTATCTTCTTTCCTCATTTCTAATGAGAATAAAGCTGAGTCCTCTAAAACATTAAGATATAAAAGAATATCTACAGTAGTGACTCTTATTTTGTTTATACCTATAGGACACATCTGATCAGAGGCTTAAAAGTTGCCTTGAATGTGTATTGAAGTCATCACCATTAAATTCTGATTCATGCAAGAAACTGTTTAAATAAATTGGAGGGTAGTTTGACATAAGATTTGAAATTGTTGAAAAGATTTCATAAGGTGATTAAGTATTTCTTTATTGTAATCAGTCATTTTACTAGTGTTTTAAGGAAATTGTTTCACAGTCGGTACTATCTTACAGGCCATTCCACAGAGGAAGAAATCAAATTATCTTTTCTAGAAACATTAAAAGATGCCTGCAGCAAGTCTGATGAAGTGACCTATGGTGAATTTGAAGATTACTATGAAGGTCTAAGTATAGGGATAGTACATGATGAAGATTTTGTTAATATTGTACGTACTCCTTGGAGAATTTAGTTTTTTAGAATGAGTGTGTCTTCAGCACTGAGCCTTCTAAAGCGAGGTGAATTGAATGTAAAATGTGGTCAAACCCTGGAATATATTTTTCTAGGACTTCTTTTGTTTTTTGTTTTTTGTTTTTCTCAAACAGGTTGAGTCTGGTAGGAGGAATCAGAAAAAGAGCTGAAGGGTGGTATATGTCTGGTCATGTGCATGTCTGAGTGTTTGCCTGACTCTAAGCGTGTAAAGCTCTATCTTTCTGATTCATTACTTATCTTGGATATGTTTTAAAGGTCATTTTTTAAAAATTTAATTTTATTTTATTTGTGTGTGTGTGTTTGTGTTACAAAATTCATTGTTTATGCACCACACCCAGTGCTCCATGCAATACATGCCCTCCATAATACCCACCACCAGGCTCACCCAACCCCCCACCCCCTCCATAAAGGTCATTGTTAAAATTAGGCTTCATAGGAAAGTTACATCTGTATCAAACTATATGAGAGCTTCAGTATAGTAACCAAGTTACTCATCCATTGTTTTTTGGCTACTCATTCCCCAAAATATGATTGCCACCATTCTCAATTTGATGAACTGGAATTGGGTCCAAAGCCTCTAAGACTTCAAATAGTTCAGCTTGTTTAAAACATTTGAAAACGTTAAAAGAATTAGAGGATATGCAAGAGAAATTTTCCACATGGTATAGATGTTTTGTGTAGCATAAATATTTAGAATGATGGAGGCTTACCCTTCAAATGCTTATTTAAATACTGACTTGTCTTGTGGATTCTTCTAAATTATGTGCTGTTGTTTGTCCAGTAGAGCACAATGTAATTATTCAAGTGATCAGCTCTGTTCCTTCTTTTGTTCTATTTTTAACTGGAATCCTTATTACCTACACAGAATTACTGTTAGCTAGAAACAATACAAAATGGGAGGGAAAATATTTTCTTAGATTTTTAAATAAAGATCTCAAAAAGTGCATTATCCCATGTATGGACTCAGGGATAGTTTAGTAATTCTTAACAAAATGTAAAAGGATGTTTGTGTCCTAAAATGAATGTATGTTATTCTAAACATCTCTTTTTGTTATACTAAGCAACTTACATATTTTCTTCTAAATAGATATTATTTAATGGTTAGGTGTATTATAATCGTCCTTTCCAGTCTTATGTTGTTAAGCATATTTTCTTGTGAATATAATCAGAAAATGTATAGACTGTCATATTATGAAAAAAGAGAAGATTCTTCTGGGACTTCACATGTTAATGCCACAGCATACTCCTAAATAAGCCTCCACCTTCTTAATATAAATATTCATATGTGTTTGCAAAAAGTTTCTCAACTTAGGAGCTTAGGAATAGTTAATTTCTCATTATTTTACACTTTATTTCAGTGTAGAGTTAGAAAATACATATTCAATATGTTATTTGTGTATTTTGTTAAATTTTAATTGGTGGCACAATAAATTATTCTGCATTTGCTTTATTGTCTGCATTCTTTGATTTTGGTATAATAAAATCTATTATTTAGTACCCAGTTTAATAGAGGGGCATTTAATTATGTAGTTACATTTTCAAACACCCACAGCATAATAACTGACATTTGAAATTCTATGCTTCACAGTCTTTAGGAGTCTAAAATATCTCTTGATTAACATTAAAATATTAAATATGAAATTATATGTTGTAGTGATGTTACATGAATTTTATGGTTAAGTATATTTTATCATTCTCTAGATCTTCAAGATGTCTTTGTGGTATAGAGTTGTTTTCCCAATAGCTATACTGTTTATTGAATTCTACATATTAATTTTAGTGTCTCTATTCTTATAAATAATGTTTTACAGAATTTTTAGGGCAACTCAAACTATATTAGAAAACAAGGGATACTATTTAGGAATTTTAAGCTATATTTTAATTAGGAAAGAATATATATTTGAATGATGGAGCAACTAGAGCATAATATAGATAAAAGTGTATGTTCCTCTTTTAAATTTTATAGTATATGACCATATGTACTTAATGAGCCAGTGACTGTAGAGTCACATAGAGTCACTTAAAATAACACATAATTTTGATGCTATGAAACACATTTTATTAATTACTTTGGATTTCCAGTCAAATTTGTTGTGAATTACTTCAGGAGAGAATTGTGTTTAATAGGCTGTGCTTACCGCAGGTTATTTAACATGCATATATATATGTGAGATTGGTTTATAATGCTTGAATAAACAAAATATGTACTGTGATAAAATATAGTCACTACTAGGTTGGCCAGCAAGGGCAAACATCTGCAGTTAAAGTGCTTAAAGAAGTAGAAGGAACTGAACCAAAATGACAAGCTGAGCATGAGAAGGGCAAAGAAAATTCAGTGGGTTGATAGGGAAGTGTTAGAATCTGGTAATGAGGAAAAGGTCCTGTTATAGCCTTCCATTTTTACTTTATGGTTATATGAACTTCTAAGGAAAACACATTTTTTTAATGTCTTCATATATAAGTGCGTCATAGTGCAGCTTCTGTTCATTTGATCTTGATTTCATTTAGCCCGTCATGTGGATGGTTGACCATTAAGCAACATGGAGGTAAGGTCGCTGATCCCCTGTACAGTCGAAAATCTGCCTATAACTTTTGACTCCCCCAGAACTTAAGTACTAATAGCCCATTGTTGACCAGAACCCTCACCAATAACATATATAGTCAACTAACACATATTTTGTATGTTACGTTATATACAGCATTCTCAAAATAAAGTAAGCTAGAGAAAAGAAAATGTTATTAAAATCATTTTCAGTACTGTATTTATAAAAAAAATTCCGAGTGTAGGCGGACCTGCACAGATCAAATCCATATTGCTCAAGGGTCAATGGTATTTACTGTGTGACACTATTCCATGAAATTTCCAAGACTCTCGATAGTCTAGATTTTTCTCACACTCTGTATATCCACTTTATCTCAAGTCCTGTGGTTTCTTACTTTTGCATCCGTCGCTTTCACTTTTCAATGCCTTACCGCCTTTCATGTGTATTACCCCCACATCAACTCTGCCTCCTCCCCAATCCCACTTTAACCCATCCTACACATTTCTATTAGAATGATCTTTCTAAAATTTACTTCTATTACTTAAGTCCTTCCATGGTATCCCATACCTTTTAGAGAAGTTCAAACTCCTCACATTAACACATAAAACCTAAATAATCTGGTCTCCCTAAGCTCATCTCCCTCTCCACACTCCACTCTCCTTGTCCCTCCCCCAGCCCCCCTCTTCAGCCCCCCTCCCCAGCCATTCTGAGCTACTTCTTGTTTTTAGACTGGATTATGAGGTGTCAAATCTCTGTGACTTCAGAACTGCTCTGCTGCTTTTGTCTAAAATGCTTATCTCCGTTAATACATCTAAGTTAATGCCTACTGATTTCCTAACACTAGCTCAAGAACCATCTCTTCTAGAAAGCTAAAGCAGAGAAGCTCTTGAGTCTGATACAGTTGTCCTTCTTTGGATCTCAGAGGCAGCCTCTGTGAGCCTTTCGTCCAGCATGTATCGCTTCATATTATAGTTATTACTTCGCTTATGTTTTCCCACGATTTGTAAGCTTTTCAAGGGTAAGGACCATATCTTATTTCACTTTATGAGCCTGGTATCTAATGCAGGATACCTGACACGTGGTAGGTGTTCAGTCAAGATTTGCTAACTGGGTAAATATGATTTTGAGCAACAAGGGTTATGGTTCTTACAGTTTAACATTGTTGCTTTAAAACACTATAGCAGAGACTATTGAACAGTATGAATGTGCACTTTAGTGCAAGCTTCAATTACAGGGGCAGTAAGTTTCCCTAATAAAGAATACACAGACTGGAGGTGTTTGAGTTAGCACTTTATCGACAAGACCTTACCACTCCAGGGGCTACCATATTCACTTCAGCTAGCTGGAACTCAGTCAGTATTTGATCCCTACAGAATAAGCCTCCTAAGCACAGTGGGTTTGATCCATAAAAACAGTGTATCATTGAATCCCTTAATGGTCTTGTGTACACCTGTGGATTAGAACTTCTGGTTACCCAACTATAACAGTACAGTAACCAGGTGCCTCCCCTTCTGGGGCTGCTGCTTCTGGGGAGCTTTTGTGCATTGTGATGGTTGGAGTTCCCAAGGGGATGAACTGCTGGGATTTCAGTAAGTTTACAGATGAGGTTATGTCATCTCCTCCTGCCTCCTTGCTAAGAAATGCTTGTTTGTTCATTAAATATTTTATTTGAGAGAGAGAGAGATGGAGAGAGAGCATGTGCACGGGGATGTAAGCAGGGGGAAGGGCGGGGGAGGGAGAGAGAGAATCCTAAGCAAACTCTGAACTGAGCATGGAGCTCAGGGTGGGACTGAATCCCATGACCCTGAGATCATGACCTGAGTGGAAATTAAGAGTTGGAGGCTTAAGCGACAGCTACCCAGCCGCCTCAGAAATGCTTGCTTAATAAATGTCTGTATGTGTGGCAGAATTTAGTCTGAAATTTATTTCATTATAGTTAGGAAGGTTAGGAAGAGTAGCTAATTCTCACTCACCTCAAAACTTTGGCCGGGGGGCTGTGGGGGGAGGTACTCACAGTTAACTGCCATTAAAAAAAAACAACAAACCCTATTGTGCACAACTAAATTAGCTATTCCTAATACAGTTGTCAGTTTGCAGCTATAATTCTCTATCAGACACCACATCACAGACCCAAATATGGCATGGCACAATGCCTGAGGTAATAGACTAAAAATTTAAACACCCCCTCCTTCATGATTGTTAAAACACAGGCATAAAGTAGGCATGGTGGAGCATGGAAGTACTTTTTGTGTTGTCTCAGGGAGGTAATAATAATTCATCCCTCTGAAATAATATGATTTATTACGATATTATTGAGATGGCATTTCCAATGTTTTGTAAAAAAAAAACCAAAATGATAAAATTTTTGGAGATTTGATTGTATAGTTTATAAAAACGTATTAGCAGATACACATTTTCAGATTTCTTTCTTCAGTAACCTCCGTGAACTAATTTGTGTAGTTTTTGGATATCTAAGCAAGGCAACATTATTTGGAAGGATTTGAATTCAAAAATTACCTATCTGGTGACAAATTTTATGCAAGGGGAAAACAGTCAAAGTCTCTTGTGTTTCAGTACTCCTTTTATCAAGTTAGGATGGGATTTCTGAGCTATGGCTGAGTAAGTTTATGTATAAATGAAAAGATTCTCACCTTTAAAACTGTATGTTGAGTTTCCTAGGATTTTCAGATGATAAGAAAACTAATATGGAACAGGTGACTGGAATTCAAGGATAT